TCTCGAGAGCGTGTGCTCTCTCATCTCCTTAATTCGTCCTTCGCCGCAGCCCCCTTAATTCTCCCTTCCAGCGAAGCCGCGAGGGAGGGTGCTCATTCTCTTGTTAACCGGAGTTGTCCCCCTTATTTATGCCGAGGGTGGCGGGCGCGGGGTGGCGTGGGAGCGGGGTGGCTCTATCGACGTACGCCGTATCTATGTGCTGGTGAATTAAGAGCGAAGTCTGCTTTCATTTTACTTTAAAGCTTCTACGCTCGTGTGCTCGCCTTTCAGCTGGGAGACTTTCGTGTGCTCCTACCTTCGAGCCACTCTGAGCTTTAACAATGCGAAATAAGGTCGAGAACTCGGTGATTAAAACTACCTCAGTCTTTTATAACTTCAGAGAGGGCGTGGAGGTAGGGTTTTTGTGAGTAGGACTTTTTTGACGTACGTTTTTATGTTTTATTCGGTTGGAATTCGCTAAGATAACGATGTCACACAGGCAAAAACTAAACTGATTTAGCAGGTTGTGTTCTTAGAAAAAGTTTTATGCATTTATAGGAATTAATATTAAAAATGCAATTTCAATACAGTTTCCAGCTAATGGCATAAATAAGGCGAGTTAATAGTCCGGGCGGCGAAATTGCTTCAGTAAATTTTAGAGTCGGATAAAACTATTTTCTAAAGTTTGTTAGCGAAGTAGGGAGTGGAGGGGTGGTTAACTTTACGCATAACATCTTCAGAGAAAGTGAAATTTTGCGCAAGTTCGGAGTAATACAACTCAGCCGCACCCCACCGCCCTTTGAGGAGTCGTCGTCTTGTGGGGGCTGTGCGGTAAACCCGTCTTAAAACAATTATATGTACTCGAATTTTTGTTTTGCATGTTTCTTAAATTGCACTGTGTATCATAAGTGGGGCATATCTTGTTTATGTATGCTGAAATATTGTCTAAAAATGTTCGACTGGCGGTCTAATCCTTCGAAAAGGGGGTTGAATTAAAAGTTGTATGAAAAATCAGAAGAGCAAAGTACCCTGTGACGGTTGAACGACCTTTGTTAAGGTGTCGCTTTCGGGCAGGTTATTTAGTGCGGGCGGGCGGCAGGGCGGGCGGGGAGCTCGCCCGGGGACAGCCGGGTCGCCGGGCGACGCAACTGGGTCACTCCGGGCCCACCCACCAATTATGTACACGCTCGTTACCGGACACGCGTTTTTCAATCACATCCATATTTAATTGGGCATCACTGCCTGAAAATATCATGTTCCAGTGTATTTTACTGGCATGATCTGTGTTTTTTTTTATAGAACAGGGTGATACCGCCGCCCATGGGCACTCTCAATGACAGAGGGCTCACGAGTGCGTCGCCGGCCTTTTAAGAATTAATACGCTCTTTTCTTGAAGGACCCTAAATCGAATTGGTATTGTAGGTGTAATATACAAAATTGCAAATGTCGATTAGAACAACATCTATTTAACGAATAAGTTAATCTAAACAATTTTAAAAAACACGTCGAAACTTAAAGCCTACTTAGAATTGTTTAAGAGGCAAAAGCTGCAAATTTGTGTTAAACCTTTAGGCTAGAAGAGCGAAAGTAGGTGAGAAACAAGTACTTAGGCGCTTAGGGAGTTTGCCCGAGCTTTGCGATACACGGAAGTTCTTAGATAACTTGTTGCATGGATGCATCGCGAACTTACGGCCCAGGAGTGTGGGGTATTCTTCAGAGTGAATGGGTGTTGTGACCGTTTACATATGGAGATAACACTATCTGGGCTATCACCCTGACCTTTTCAGACCCCTGTCAAATCGGCGGTCTGGATTTGTAAGTCGTTTTATGGCCAGACACAATTCTTGTCTTTGACTTGTAAACAAATATTACTGTTTATAGTTTCAATGTTCTTGCTTCATTATTTAAATGGCTTTGATAAATGATTCTGTAAGTCTAACATACGGGTACTTGATGTAGTGGTATCTAGTATTGATGAAAAACGTTTCCATGTTTGAGAATCACATAGTATTTAAGATATACACAAAAAAATTATGAAAAGTACCACAAAATTAAACCATACGCCTAATCGTAAATAAAATAAAAAGCCAAACAAAAAACATAAACAAACCGAGAATCTAGTTATCTGTTTTAGGAAACAATCGATTGTGACGTAATTTTGTATGTAAAGCAGATGGACTGATAAGGATATGTGCGTGACGTCACGTGTAAATGGCGGGTGAGCATATCAAGTGCAACCTTGACATTGGGCATCGCCCTAAGCATCGATTGAACAAAACCATCTCCGTGAGCAAGCAATAATAGTCGGGCGATGAATGAACACATTAGCGAGCGGCGCGGGCGTCATTACGCGCCCCCATTAATCACTGCAACAATCGGCCGATATCTCGCTATTTACAAACGCGGGAGCACGTGTTCGCTCGTACTACGCAGAGTGTATTGACCCATTTAGATAGACTCGACCTTCGCGCGGCCATTGTGAGCGAAAAACATAAAAATAAGTTTTATTGCGGCGTCGTTATGCGTATCGCGGTCCCTCCCGTCACGCCCGACAGCTGATCGCTACGTGACATTTTTATTTTATTCTCTTCCGGGGATTCTCCGAGATGTGACGTCATTATCGGTCCGCTCACGCCCGCTTCCTGATTTATTATCTTAAATGAGCGTGAACCACTTCGCCCTGTGGCTTGCGGTGATTTATGTACTACGTACGCGACTCTAACAATGTCAGTGTCAACTGAAACCGCATTCAAGAGGTCCCATTCATGGAAATGTTTTGTTACACATGCTCAAGATTCATGAGGTTTAAATAGCTTGCGTACTCCCTTGGAACGGTGCAGCTACACACATGTAATTTATTTTAAAAGTGCTGCAATTAATTCGAAAATTTGTGATGGTTTGTAAGGTTAAAATTCTTTTGATATAACATTGCGGTCGTTTGATTCTCGTAGCTTTTTCTTACCAATTTCAGGAGAATTAGTTTTTTTTGTTGTTTCTGCTTCACGGCAATCTGCTTTCCAGCAATAAGCCACTTGTTTGTTTTATTTCTCAGTTTATGTTTTCCTCAAGAGCCATAGGAGAAACTTTCTTACACGACCGAGTCAAGTGAAAATAGTACCATAAACTTAGCTTAGTGAATAATATTTATGATATCAGATACCTGGGTTTTTTTCTATATATATTTTCACGTTGAACTAGACACTATTCGTTATAAATTAATGGAAGGATGTCGCTGTTTCAGCATCAAAAGAAATTATCTATTTATTTTATAAAGATCGTGAAATACGACCGTAATTTCATGTCCGATATCCGAACTAAATGTTCGGATAGCTAATATCTCACACACCGAGCTATAGTAAGGCGAAAGACAGTCAAGTATGAGGTAGGTAGAATACCGTGCCACAAGCGGTCCGACATTCCGAGTAAACAGCGGTTCGAAGAAGCGAATGCGTCATAATTACAAAAAACAAATTTTCCCTTTCATTGCATCAAGTGGCAAGTCGCTCATCATAATAAACGCATAACGCCACGTCTCGCACGCGCCTGTACTGTAAACAATGCATTTCGGGAATACCCCTGCTTTTTATGCCACATTCCTCTGGAATTCCTTTTGTTTGTTTCTTAACGGTTTGAAACTTTTTGTATCCGTCACATTGAAAATGTTTAACCTCGCCGCGAACTTTCGTAACGGTAATACAGCCCATTTCTCCGTACGGTTTTAATTTCAATACTTGAGTAACGTACAATTTCCATGGAATAAACTACTTACATCGTTTTCAAATTCAAGACATCAAGATTTTTTTAAGAGCAGTAATTGCAGTTTTATGTACAATTATTGCAGTTTAATGTCTGAACTATATAACAAAAAATATTATCAACAAAGCAAAGAAAATGATGGCTAAAGATAGCATTTTTCGAAACAAGAGTTATAAAATTCTAAACGGAGCAGCAGTGAAATAAAAAGCTCGAAGTAGAAGCTGCGCGAGCGACGGGCCACCAAACAGGATGTAAGACTGGTTGTGCGCACACAGGTCGAGCGCGTTCACATACGGGCACACATACATACGTACGCGGCCTCGCTCGCTCACGGAAATGTGCGTGCCAGCGACTGGGCGAACTGCCTTGGTTTGCCAGTTTTGCGAATGCTATACCGTGCGACCCGAAAACACTTACTAAATCATGCGTTATATTTTATATATTAAGGCTATTTACGGTCGGTAAAATATTTTGAAATAAATTTTGATAAAAGTTCTGATTTATTAAAATCGTATTGATGGCTGCTATAATAGCTATGAGTGAAAATCAATTATGTATTAAATAAATGAACACTAAAATAAAAGAGGCGAGGTAATTTGTCAAAACTGAGAATTGCGATTGCAAGTCATCGTGATCGCGATATTAATCGGAAGCTCGGAAACAATCGAGTTCGAGTTAAGCACGTTTGACTCTATCCTATCTTGATCTAATCTTCAGCCACCTGTAAGCAAGGCGAGCAGCCCTTCAATGAATGGATAATAATCACGTACTCCATAGCTATTCTACAAAAGGAACGGGTCTCGTTAATCGCTCATTCAATACAATTCGATATTGCGGATTAACACCTTCACGCTATGAATTTATGAATGGAGCAACAAAAAATACTATGTAGATCACTTGTAGTAAATCTTTGCGTTTTATTATCGTGTTTGTAGATTTATAATGGCGCGCAATAAAAACAAAAAACCATAAACGCTTTGTTTACATCTCTCGCTTAGTCTATTCACGATAGTTCACTTCAATGACTAATTAAACTAAAAGCTTTAATTAATTTCGGTATTCAAAAGGACAGTGACTACAAAAAATAGCGTTTGAATAATGTCAAATAAGTAGAAATGTTCTTGTATAGCCTCGCAGCTCGCTTTATACAGAGGCACCCCACGCTATCTACCCCATTTTATAGTCGTCTATAATACAGCGTTCGCTGGAGCGTAGGTAGCTAGCTATAGCGCTAGATACAAGCGGACGGCCGCTACGATGTTATTATGTTGCTTCTGTGTGCGTGCGTGCAGCGACGAGCGCACACAGCAACGGCTGTGCCCGTCCGCCGCACTCCCCGCCCCTACATCGACCCTCGTCTGCTCGACGACATGGTTAAGCGAGCTCTGAGGCAATGCTGTGCCAGTATCTACTCCTCACAATGCCATAGAAAGTTCGTTTGACTCGCCCTGGTTGCTTGAATTTTCTGTACTCTTAATTAAACCCAGATATGTAATATTTCGAACACCTATTAATGTACCAGGTATATTTCTTAGTTTTTAATACAAGAAAATATTCTTATTCTTAATTGGTACCTAGATTTTAGAATAAAATCCGCACAGCGCACGGCTAGGTTATAAAATGCAGTATGTGACATAAGCGATAAAATAAACGTCAGACGTTTTCAAGTTTCGAATGGATAGAGCAAGCGACGCGCTGAGCATCAGAAAAAGAACTTTACGACAAGATTAGAAAGAGCGTTCGGTGCGGCAACGTCGCGCGGCCACGTTCCATGCGAGCAGCGACCGGGCGCGGCGCGGCAACGTTTACTCGACGTCATTATACTAAATTTATTTTCATGAGCGCCAGCCAGCGCTGGCGACACCGCTATTTTACTCGTTCTCATACTAGTTGATTCGCTATTATGATGATACTAATGAAAATGTTTTTGTTTAGAGTACATGGATGCTTTTAATTTGAACTCTACATTAGTGAGTAGTGAGTATTCAAAGCGGGCATTGTAAAATGTATTTCAAAGCGATAAATAGTGGTGATAATATAAAATAATTTCTTTGTACGTAGGTGACGTTTCTCGGTATTTCGGTATTGCCAAGTTGATGGGATAGCGATAAATTAACGCGTCCTTTAGTATTTTGAGTTCCAGCTATATTTTGAAGTCGCTTTTATATCTGAGTGACCCTTGTTTAATTCGAGCATCAGTTTTTAGGAGCTTTAATTACTCGTATAATTATAAATAGTTATTAACACAACTTAATATTTTCGAATGTCATCTTTTCTGAGCCTTTTGTTTCAACAATTTTAAAAATGTCGGTTTTCTTTCAAATTAAATAGTTCAAATAATTACTTAAATATTATAAATATACTTAATGAAAAATGGATTAGGTGTTCATAGAACACACAATGTGCAGTTATTAAAGAGTTATTTCGCATACTACGCGTTAGTCTAATTGAGACAGGTGCGAACGCATCTGCCGCTGGACGTTCGGTTTATTTTTTTCCACCCGAAGACTGCAATATGGAATAAATAATACAAATACTATTCTTGCGAATTATTAATTATGATTAAGTTAATTTATAAATTCATGATTATTAGTATCCACAGTATAATCCCAGTGTTCTTAGTTAGTTATAGATAGTTTCTTAGTATAAATGCATGTAGAAAGAAACACAGGGTAGGAAGGTTGTAGTTAACTTTTACCAGTTAACGTTTAATGTCGTTGTTAAGAATAGTTTAAATACGAACAACCCTTACTATTGAAATCGCGATAGAAATAACGTAACTAAGGGTGCTTGTTCGTCTTCGTAATGCTCGTTAAAATCTTTTGTAAAGAAACAATTTACGTTGGAGAATGCGAACGGCAGTTGTCTCGAACAAATCCCACAGTTGTATTCCTAAACACGAATATACCTGGGCTGATCCCTTCTGGGGTGCGCCCCGAGAGCATATTGCGCCCAAAAAAAGGGAAGGGTCGTCGTACAATAGAACGTAACTTCAGGTACCCAGAGTCCGTCACTAAGCTGCGTAGAAATATACTTTTAAATTATATTCTCAATTTGTTATTGTTTCCAAACATAACGGAATTAGTGTGCGATTTATCTATCGACTGCACACTTAATTATAGTCAATAATATTATTTCAACATTTAGGAAAATTTTATTGAGTGTTAACATGTGGATTTTGGTGCGTTACAGGGCTCGGGCGGCGGGTGCGGCGCCAAACGGCGAGCCGGATCCCCGTGCGAGGGCGGCGGCAAAGTCGCGCGCTGGGAAGACTCGATAGCGCGGCTGGAGGCCGTGGCCGCGGGTGCCGGCGGCGGAGAGTGCTGGCGCGGCGAAGACGAAGAGCGGCGCGCCTGCCGCCGGCGCTGGTGCGGCGGCTGGTGTGGCGCGCACGACACTATCCGTGCCGAGAACGGCAAGTCCTACCTCGAGTTGGGCGGTGCGGCCGCGCGGGCCTGTTGCGATGGCAGGGCCGCAGGCCGATGCGCCTCGCGCCGTTGCTATCGCGAAAGACGCCTAAAGATGATGAACCTTTGCGCGCTGAAATTGGCGCGATTCCGTCAGACGGCGGATCCCTCGTTACGGCGCTCGGTGCTCGTGTGCAATACCTTGCGCGGCATCGAGCGGGAGATGGAACGCGAGAGCGCCGAGGAGGCGCCTTTCGAACCCGCGGGCGTTGCGGGTGGTGTGACACGCTGCGAGCTGCTGGGTGCGCGAGACCCGGCCGCCGGGCGCGCCACTCCCTTCCCTGCATCGGCGCCGCCCGACCGAGACTCGGGCTACGGCGACGAGGAACAGCGCAGCATCGACTGGGGCTCCGTGCTGAGCCTGTCCTCCCGCTCTGCGCTCGACCCCCCCGAGGAGACGTGGCCCGACGACTGGGGCTGGAGCGAGGACAGTTTCGTGCGGCTACTGGTGCCGACGAGTTAGTGCAGTGCGCGCGGGCCCGACGCGCCCGCGCCTCCTTGAGCGCCTGTGATAGGGCGGCGGCCGTGCGGTGGCGAGCCGCGCCGAGCTGACCGCCAGCGCGGCGGCGCCCGCCCCGCGACATCTAGTCGGCGCCGCGCCGCCGCCCGGCGACGCGACGCAACGCAGTCAGTAGTTAGTATTATGTAATTCACTATGGGAAGGTGCTAGCTTCGGACGAGACGCGGGACTGTAGCGCGAGCCGTTATTTTTGATAAGTTTATTTCTTTAAGTGAATTCAGAACTGCGACCGAGTGACTTAGCCGAGGACATTTTGTGCTTTAGATCCGGACTCGTGTTAGAAATTTTGTTGAAATTATTGCGTACGATTAGATAAATGCTATATTTATTATGTTAAAAGAGATGATACGATTATTTGAGATTATTTCTGTCTTGATATTTTCTGTAACGTTGAGTCGACCGGCGTGACTATGGGTTGTGTTCTATGGTCCCCCGTCTGTTGAATTGTGGACTTACTGAGTTCAATTACAGCTATTTATAGTTTCTTACCATAGTACTAGTCCACACTTCATCGAAACGGGGTTCGGAGGGGGATGTCAGAATGTGTATGGACATGTGCCGCCATTCGGTATGAGCGTCATGACGCCAAGTGCTCTGCATCAGCTGACTGCAGATGTGAACAATTCAGAACAAACTGTAATTTATTAATCGATAAGTACTTAAGGAATCGATGGACTTTCATTATTTCCGCAACTGATATTTACGTGGCTAGTCGTCAATTATAAAGCCTTAAATATAATGAAAGTATCACGACCACACTCGATTGGAATTTGTAAAATACTGTCATGGTTGTACTTAAATCCAGGAATTGCCAAAACTCTGTCCCAACTTACGGCCTTCTAATTGGTTTTACAAAACATTAACTTTTAAGTACATATTATTTTTATTGTGAATATAATTTTCACAACCCTAACTACAGTGACGTACAGTTCCTAATACTTATCGACTATTAGTGAAATTAATTTTCAATCCACAAGTTTCGTAGATTAGAGGGCCGTGCACAGGTCATGGGTTTTACTTGATTATAGACTACTTAATTAACATATTGAAGACACCGAATTATACCAGAGCCATTAAGGACGCTTAGTCGAACCCTATAATTTCACTTATATCTAGAAAAATAATATATGAAACCTATTTAGTTTGGAAGGAGCAAATAGCAGCAAACATTTTGACGTGTTCGTATAAAGACAAATCCTCCTTCACGGCTCGGGTATAAGAAACAGCGACAACCCGTCGTTCCTACGAAAGATCTAGTCAAGATGGTGCTATACCATTAGAAGCCAAGGCTTCTATGGCGTGGTAATGAGGCATTCTCTTAGGAGCTTCGGGTTGGAAGCTCGCGTCAAATGGGCATTAGCAGTGGGCAGCAAAACATTTTCCACATATCAAATCTAAATAAACTTTAGATTGACATAGGAATTTGTTCATCAGATGCATTACTATTAAGTTCAAAAACGTTTTTCTAAGTAACCAATGCTGAGGAAATCGGCTTTCAGACTATCGATTTAATGAAAAATGTATAAATTAGGTAATTTTTTAATTTTTGTATGGGATCGGAAATGATTTTGTGGCCCACGCGTTAATCTGTGTGTCATCAGGATTTGCGGTCGGATTTGCTGCGGAAACATCCAATTTAGTTCGGTCGATAATTATTTTTGTATAAGTTATCACTATGAACTGTTTTCTAACCATTCCTGCTGTCAAATGTGAGAGACACCATTGGGTTATGATATATAGAAGTAATAACTAGATAGAGAATCATACAAAACCCCATGCTATCGTTAACACTTGGTCTCTGTCAACTGTCGGGAATGATTAGTCTTCAAAGTAAATTTCATCCAAGTTTGTGCTCTTGACGGACCTCTGATGGCACACGCCCATCGCATACACGGAATTGCGACTACATGGACCAAACATACATAGCACGAAGTAATAGAACAAAGTACAAATTCAATAAAATAAGATGCATTAGTGCTCCGGCGCATGTTTGTCCACCGTTGTCAATTAATCTAATATTTGAATTGTGATTCGGTAGCTAATGAGAGAAAACTATCTTAAAATTAGTGTAAATATAAAATTTATGGAGATGGGCATTATACCGCGGTGATACGCGGTTGTAAATAAATTATGTAAATTAGTAATTATATCATTTATCAGATAACAGCTCCTGGTCCTTCGAATTCCGTTTTGTTCAAATTCAAACTTCAATCAACTATAAGAGCTATTAGCTCTTACAATTGATTGCATGCATTTGAACATACATTCCCTATGTCACAAATATTGCCAGTACTCAAATATATAGTTAGAATTCAAATGAGTTGTGAACTCGAGATGCACATATGATTAACTGGTTTCCCTTACCTTCCTTAAATTTTCGTTCATAAGTCCGTATGATTGGTTGTGATGGTTTACTTAAGTAAGTTAGAGAAATAATCTTTATCACCTTGTACTGATGAAGTGTCGCACACTCATTGATATTAAAACTGTAAGTACTTAATACGTAATTTTTTAATAAGGTGACACAAAATTCTAAACTGTATAAATCCGTATCGATGAATGTGCGATACGAATAACCCAATCTGAATGCTTGCAATCGTGTACAAATTCATTGACTGTCCTGTCATAGTGTACAGTGTGTAAAATATGCATCGAAATTTTGTGAACCCTTCTAGTAATTGTTGTTGATTTAACTTAACTTCGGACGTCTAAGAATTTAATTCAATTTCATACTGGCATGAAGCAATTGTGTTGTGAAGACAGCAATAATTATTGTGCGAGTCATCCGTCTAGTCGAGGACATTTCAAAGAAACGTCCCCGGCGACATCATACGTAAACTTTGTAAAAATCGTGTAATTTTCTTAGTGTTTTCATTGCCATTCGTTACCAAATATGACAGGATTTATAACTTGTATAGAACAATTCGTTAGGCGATAGCGAACTCGATTTCGGACACTCAGGCGCACATCGAATTGTTAACGTTCCTTAATAGAGTTCCGAAATTGTTTCTCTATAATCTAACGTAAAGATAATGTAATATATTGTTTAAGCTGTTGTGTCGGAAATAACAAGAACAGGAATAATTTTGTGAAACAATGGCACAAAGAATGAACATAAATATTATATATATTATAGAAACAGAAATGTGACTATAAGAGCAATTTTTATAATAAATATTTACTGTTGATGAATCACAGCCTTTTATTAACAATCCCAAACTCATTTAGTTGGCCAAATCTGTCGGTTGAATACCATGAAGAGTGCGTTTGTGCTTCCACATATCTCCGGAACGCCTGAAAGGTAAACAACTTTGCATAACTATAAGAGATAGAGGTCAAAGAGTATGAATGAAGGTGTTTAAACAAATTGTTCAAGATCTAGTTGTTTTATGAGTTACACATAAACAAGAATAAGTTTCTAACATTCTATCTGTACCTATGTGTACAACAAATATATGCACTGCTTTTAATAATATTTGATTCAGGTTTTGACCTGTTAACATAAAGTAAAGCACAACATTTAATTTAGCAGTCAGTACTTGTTCTTACCACCACTGCGAGGTTCTAGATTCAATCCCGTAGGATTTAAGCAGTCGAAGTAATGCCATGTACAAGAAACAAAGCTAAGTATAAAATGAACTTATTTTTGTTTGAAAAAACAAAACCCGCAACTCAAACGGGATGCAGACATTTCTGTTTCATTGATATATACTATATATAGGCCGATTGTCTTTTGCCGGCAACGCATTTGCGAGCCTTCTGGCCATGTGAATGTCCATGGGCGGCGACTTAACATCAGATGAGCCTCCTACCCGTTTGCCTTTTCCTCAAAACAAAAGGCAATTAGTAAGATCAGTATGCTTAACGAACTGAAATAATTATAGTTTCGCCGGGAATCAAACCCAGGTTTTTGTGTAGTCACGTGCGTCATCCACTAAGTTAAGAAAATAATTGTATTTAAAAACGAATTGATAAATATCTATATTACAACATTTTTAATAAATAACTACATTACAATAATTTATATCGCATTTAACGAATTTTCATTTAAATTATACATTGAAAAATCGTTTCTTGATTGTATTGCTCTGCAGCCAAGCAAATACTGTGCAAACAAAACCTCTAGATAAAATAATACTTCGATATATCTACATACCAACCTAGAAGCTAATAGAATTTAGGTATTTACCTGAAAGCCGTCCCGCAGACATCGCATTCGTGAGGCTTCTGCCCGGTGTGAATAAGTGTGTGCACGGTCCGAGCATAGGGTCGACGGAACGCCGCGCCGCATATGTCGCAAATGTATGGCCTAAAAAATGGTTCCACAAGTCTATAAGGGTATAATTCGGAAACTTATTGCTAAGTCTGATCCTGGTAAAATAAAAATAAATCAGTGGTGCTACAACCTCTTTAGGTCTTGGCCTCATTTTTCATTCAGTCATTTTTAAATCTAATAGGCAAGATGATCAGCATCCAGTGCCTGACACACGCCGCCGACTTTTGGGTCTAAGACATGTCGATGTTTTCCTACACTGTTCGAGCAAATGTTAAATGCGCACATAGAAAGAAAGACAGGTGCACAGCTGGGGAACGAACCTACGACCTCAGAGGTATGAGAGTCACTCGGTGAAGCCACTAGGCCAACACTGCTCTGATCCTGGTATGTTAAAAATATTTTGTTGAGTCCACTGAATGTCAGTGTTGCTGGTGATAGCAACTTAAAGCTGAGTTTGCCCCAATTTTGATTAAAGTGTTTGTGTATGAATTTATTTTATATTAATGTGTGTTCTTTAACTAAATAACGTTTTTTCTTTCTTTTTTCTTCTTTCATTTTAGAGTTTTAGGCTGCTAAGCCCAAGCGTAATGTTCTGGTCTCCAATCTTCGACTTTAACCTGACAGTGTCCTTTCTAAAGCTGGAAAAAATGGATTAGAAATACCACGGTATCGAAAAGTGCAATCAAATCGGGCCTCGTAACCCACCAGAGGGAAAATTACCTATTGAAGTCCAATGGGGAATCGAACGCGATACTTTATAAAACCGCTCAGCCTGGAGATATATGTATTATATCACATTTGCGGGGTATATACATAGGTTGCAATAAATTTTTCTGGGATTTAATTCATTTATTAAAAGTTTAATTTCACCATATTCGCAAGCGATGACAGTTATTATTATCCCAGTGCGTATTCTTAAATGCGATTTACTTTAAGATAAGATTAACTTTTAGAATGCTGGCCTGAAAATTTTGTAGTTAAATTGTATTAAATTATTAATTAACTCGTAATACATCTGTCAAATGTGTTTTTGAAGCTTCTAAAGACGCATCTTTCGCACAACTATGAGAGAAACTGAGAAGTTAAACTTATTACGTAACGTAAAAGTCGGTTTGGAATGATCTTTGGTATAGATTAGAGTTATTTTAACTAACTTCATAAAACCCGTAGGGGGAGGGTTACGTATAATTTTTAAAAATGCTGACATCCAAATCAATTCAGCGATTTAGGCGTAAAAGCGTTACAAACTTTCTCATTTGCTAAGTGAAATTGCCTCCATCGCCTATTTGGAGCAATGCGGTAAGCAGATTTGGGGTTTGAGTCCCAGAGAAGAAAAAATTATACGCATAAATGAATTATATTATTACGAGTCAAAAATAATGTAATTACTAGATTAGTTATTATTGAGAAAGATTTTTATTGTAGTAAAATTGTAATAAATAAACTCAATTCTTTCACCACTCAGAATAAATATCGCAATACAGCGAGGAAAATATACTGCCAGCGTACATTGCCACACGGATAAAACTTTTAAAATTTATTTTAATTTTCTTTCTATTAATAAAATTGCATAAAATTATATATATAGGTAATTAAAACTATTACGATTTATTACGTACGATACAAAACAAAATTATGTTCCATATTCAAAAACTTTGTTTCGCGGTCTTAAAGTTGATGTACAGGTGGCGCCATCTCTGTCGTATTATAAGAACTATCTCAGGAATTTCCTTTGGTTTTACCGTAAGCAATCGGTAGAGGTACTTTTACAGGGACAGCGAGCGAACGAAGATAGAAAACGGGTTTTATATATTTTTAAAAATAAGTTTTTAAGTTAAAAGAGGAAATAAAAAAGTATGGGAAACATACTATACTAGAACATAATATTAGGAACTAGAGAACAAGATTTTTACTGGTTAGTTCTAGGTTTGATTATTGGGAAAACAATAATTCAGCTTTGTAGCTTTCTCTATTTTTCTTGTGTTTACGGGGTATCAATGTGGACAAGATTTTGTTACGTAATAGTTGAATGGTATTTTAAAAACCACTTTTGCGAATAGGATGCAGAATTGTCTGCATCACGTCTGCCGAAACCCAAATTGCTATATTCGGCTGTTTTGGAACAGATAATTCGCAGTGAAGTGAAAATAAAATAGGTCCACAGGGAATCAATTGGTCGATGTCATGTGACGATCACTTGACGAGCTAAGTTCAAGTGAGTTAAAAAAGGTTAAAAATAAGGAAAGCTTACTAAAATTGAAACCGGGCCGATTTAGATGATTTTTTTCTCTTGTATGGATTCAGTCTGCGATCCACCAGAACCTAGGTAATCTTCTTTTTTTTAATAGAACAAGGGGCAAACGGGCAGGAGTTAAGTGCTACTGCCGCCTATGGGCACTCTCAAATCTCAATGCCAGGCTCGCGAGAGCGTTGCCGGTTTTTAAGAATTGGTACGCGGGTTTCTCGAAAGAACCTTAAGTCGTGTGGCCTTAACCTGACGCCAGTAGATGGTGTTTCTTTAGTTAACGCAGATCATAACATAACTTTGAATTGCTTATTTTGTGATAGTTTCACGATTAAGCGATCCAATTTAGGCTCAGTTACGATTTTCAAATTACGCCTAAGGTGAAAACGCACTGTCTAGTTAATTCAATGCATATCTACCATTGACGAAGCAGTTCAGTTTAGGTCATGGTGGGCCCTATGAAAAACTGTTTAAGGCAAATCTTTATAGCAATCACTTTAAGCAGGTTTTTTCCAGTTTAAAGAATTGCCAATTCAAAATGTAAATTACTAGGGATATTTTCCTGTAACTCACAGATAATATGCCACCTCACCGGTCACCGCATAATCTATATAAAACTGTCTGTTTCATAAACGCAGTCTAAATGAGGATTTCTATAAATTCAACCTGTAAATACCAGCTAGGAGTTGCACAAAACTGCATTGCTAGATTATTTTCCGATATTTGTAGACAATAATTTAGTAATTCTAGCCTTTATAAAAGAAGACTGTTGAAATGGCTGGGGTCACGAGGTTCAAGATCGAGAGGCCGGCCTTGTGCTGGATGGGCAGATGAAATTGGGATAATGGCTGGAAAGTTCTGGAAATCCTCGGCGGCTTTTAGCCGTGGACTAATACGTTTACTAGATTTTTGAAGTGTAACTTCTTTAGGCGCATGAGGGTAAATTTTTTACGGAAAAAACGTCACGAAGATGTGCAGCGTTTTTGTCGAAGAAAAGGGAGAGAGCGATTGAGACCGATTGAGGGAGAGTAAGAAGGGCAAATTACCATATAGATTTTCATTTTTAAAATTAAAATTTCGTAAAGACAATTTATGAAATATTAGTAATACATATATGTATATATAATATTTTATGCAAAATAATTTATTGAAATCCGAAATGACGAATTGTAAATTAAAATGCCACGTGTTTTCATTATCGAAGAAATATATTTAAAAAAATTAAATCTATAATTTGTATTAATTTTCGACACTTAATATTTTAATGACAATTAAATTCATTAAATTCCTAACATATCTTCCTTTTTCCCTGCCTCTAAGTCTCGAAAAAAATCGAAAAAAAATTGTATAAATATGAACAAGACTTAAAAATTAGTTTGCCAAAGAAGTTTCACTTCTGACATGTGTACCTACTTTGTACGCACGCACTTTTTTTTTTACTTAACATACTGTTAATGTCTAGTATTTTATGGATTTAAATAAAGGTTTATTATTATAAAAGAAGTTTTATTTAACCTTATTTAATTTTAAAATTAACTTATATCGATTCTACTAACAATTTTTTTTACTATTTCCTTTATGTAGACACATTAAATGTCACACAGTTATAAACAAAACTAAGACGGCTTCTAAGTCTATGCATCTGTAATTAGCTTACCTCTGGTCAGTATGAATCCTGGCGTGTTCACGCAGGCGTGCAGCTGCAGTGAAGGTCTTAGGGCAGGCGTTGCAGGCGAATGGCCGCTCGCCCGTGTGCGTGCGTCGGTGGTCGTCTCGCTCCACCTGCGACCACCCTTACACTTAATATAATATAAACGTTATTATGACAAAAAGTCTAAACAAGTACACCTTATAACAAATAAATAATTTGTTTTAAGAAATGTACTCTTATGTGTTTACGCTATGATGAAATGATAATTAAATAATATATTAACTAATTTATAAATGAATAAATCAAGAGCAATTTATTTTATATGAATAAGGTATATGGTTTATATGAAACTTATTTGACGCGAATTTATTTTGATTAATTCTTTAAAATTAATTAATATAATTATATTAATTCATCTATCGCAATCCTAAAAATCCGTAAGATTAATCTATAATTGCTATAGGTATATACTGCAATCAAACATACAAACTTATGTTTACGGTTTTACCTTGCCAAAAAACTTGAAACAAAAAAATATAAAAATATAATTTATAAATTTGTTTTATCTCAATATCTGGGGCTGACACTGTGCAAGGCCTGGGTGCTTTCTGGCATTCTGACCGAGGCTGTTAAAACCACCCGCTCATTCAAGGTGTGGTTGCGGAGATTTGGTCGGTGCCGGGTTTCGCAGACTTAGGCTGCTGAAATCGCCCGATCCCGCGCCGCAGCCGCCGCCGCCCCGCTGCCCGCAAAATTCGAGGTAGCAGCCTTAATGTGGCGTAAGTGTAAGCCGTGTCATCATATAATTGGGTCTACTTATATCTTATAGTGCAAAATATGTTTAAACAGCAAGTTAAAATGCAATCCTGTTGGCCTATATGAAATAAATAAATATGTAAAGAACTTTATTTCTCTTTAAAAAAATGTATTTCGTTTTACATGAGAAACTTAATATATACGAACGAGATACACGTCGCCATCAGACTAATTTTAAGGTAAAATTGGGTCATAAATAAGCAAAAATAAATAAAAATAAAAAAAAGAGTCAAATAAGTATATTTATACAATCTTTATACAATCAATTCTCAAAAAACTGAGTTCCCCGCGCTAACTGCATGGGATAAACCAACGTGAATTGATAACAGTATAAATAACTCCTTTACAATGCATTTGCAAGAATTAAGGTTTTATGTTTCATTGTTTTATTCGTCATACAGTTATCAAAATCAAGGGTGGAGAGTGGACAGGCAAAAATCGGAAGTAAACTCACTACCATACTTTTAAATCGTCAAATTTTTTGTTTTTCACGATGTTTGATGGCTGCAACCATATTCACTGATTTAAGAAGCATAGGGATTTTATTATTACCAATATTATTATGTTGGGTAACTGTTTTCTTTGTGAGCAGTGTTGGCCTAGTGGCTTCAGCGTGCGACTCTCATCCCTGAGGTCGTAGGTTCGGTCCCCGGCTGTGCACCAATGGTCAGTGGACTTTCTTTCTATGTGCTCAACATTCGCTCGAAGGGTGAAGGCTCGCCTTAGACCCAAAAAGTTGACTGCGTGTGTCAGGCACAGGAGGCTGATCACCAACTTATTAGATTAACAAATGATCATGAAACAGATACAGGGCTGAGGCCCAGACGTAAAAAGGTTATAGGGCTACTGATTTCTTTTTTATTTTATTTTTACCTGTTCACTTTAGCCCACGATCGATTCATGATCCTGGTACTTTTTTGCACACGGTACCACTATCACGGATCATTAAGCCAAGCCTTATCTTGTAGAAAATTGCGGGTTATTCTTGCCGTATAAAATATTACTTCTTTTGATGATATAAATATATTATCACTATTATTATTATTATTATAATTATTAGTGATCCTTTTAAGGTTCCAAACATGGTGAACATTATATTAGGTCCTTACATATGAAATTGGCGTTTTGTATGGGAGGAACAAAAAGTCGAATATTTTTAAATATAATATATTTAATTAATCAAAGTATGAACCATTGTTTTCTATGCACTTTTGCCATCTCATAGGTAGTTCATTGATCCCTTTACTAAAAAAACCAGTCGGACGGGAATCAATAAAATCTGTGAAGGCGATTTGGACTGCCCCATCAGAGTTAAATTTTTTCCCTTGCAAGAAGTTGTGCAAATTTCGAAAAAAATGGTAATCTGTTGGAGCAAGGTCCGGGGAGTACGGAGGATGTCTTAGACATTCCAATTGAAGCTCTTCTAATTTGGTAGCCGTCTGTTGTGCAGTGTGTGGTCTAGCGTTATCGTGAAGTAGCAGTGGCGTGGAGCGATTGACCAGCCTAGGTTGTTTAGCCGCTAGCTTTTCCATCATGGTTTGCAATTGCTGACAATAGACATCAGCCGTAATAGTCTGGCCAGATTTGAGAAATCTGCAATGAACAATACCGGCACTAGTCCACCAAACGCTTACAAGTAACTTTTTTGGGGTTAATTTTCGCTTGGGGCAGGATTTGGCTGGCTGGCCAGGATCCAACCATTGCGCTGAGCGCTTCCGATTATTATCGTAAAGAATCCATTTTTCATCACAGGTAATGATTCGGTTTAAAATACCTTCATTATTGTGCCGGTTCAGTAATCTAACGCAGCAGTCGACGCGCGTTTGCCGGTTTGCTTCAGTCAATTCGTGAGGTACCCATCTTTCAAGCTATTTAATCTTCCCAATTTGCTTCAAGTGAATTAAAACAGTTTTATCACTAACACCGCAGCCTGCAGCTAACTCGGACGTGGTTTGCGATGGATCCGCTTCCACAATAGCCTTCAATACTTCATTATCAACTTGGGTCTCAGGCCGTCCACGGGGCTTGTTCTGCAGGTTGAAATTTCCAGAACGAAAACGTTGGAACCAAAAACGAACTGTGTTTTCTTTTGCAACATGACCACCATACACATCATTCACCCTTCGAGTCGTTTCCGCAGCACTAGTGCCACGGCGGAACTCGTACTCGTAAATAATGCGATACTTTAAGTTTTCCATTTTGTAAAATGAGTGACGCAAACAGAAAAAAACAGAAGAAAAAAACAAATGAATGACGGTAATCGAAGCACAAATACATGAGTAAATAGCTGTACAAATTTTAATTTGGAATTCTTAACCAAAGAGGAGATATTTGAGGTCAAAGTGGCCAAAACGTAAAACGCCAATTTCATATTGTAAGGACCTAATATATACTAAATAGTACTGTTTATGTTTGATACTAACCTTAACTTTGAAAGCCTTAGGACATAGATCACACGGGTAGGGCCGTTCTCCAGTGTGCATTCGCATATGGATCGCGAGGTGCCCTGACTGGTTGAAGCGACGCCCGCATATTTTGCAAGGGAAGCCCTGGAAAAGGTATTTCTGATATATGGAGTAAGACTTTTGTTAATAATAATAATAAATATTTTAACTACATATATTATTTTAATAAAATATAATATTGATTCCGCGTTGTGATTGTAGATTTCTAGATAGTAGTAGGTAGTAGTAGTACGATTTTTTAGATTACAAACAATACCAGCATAGTGTCTTCAGCGTGCGACTCTCATCCCTGAGGTCGTTGGTTCAAACCCCGCTTCTTCAATGGACTTTCTGACTATGCGCATTTAACATTCACGTACGGTGAAGGAAAAGATCATGATGAAACATACATTAGACCCAAAAAGTCGCCTACTTGCTTATAAGAAAAAAACAAATGATCATGAAACAGATCGTAAATGAGAAGCATACAAAAAAGGTATATAATATATAATAATACGATAATTATTTATTTTAATAATTTCTAATATGGACCAGCAACGTGTGTTTAATAGTGTTGTGTCCCTTTTTTTATCAGGCGTTATGTTTTTCATATATATTTGTACTTTTACTTACCAAGGAATACGATTGTGTGTATTATTTACATACCTGAAGAAAAAAAAATACATTCACCCAATAACTCGTGTATATACTGGTGTGACTGTACTTTATTTGAATTAATTGTAAAAAATGTATCAAACGTCGACATTTACGAGGGGTCTTCAATAAATAGTGATCATTCGATTCTCTTTGGAAAGAAAAAAAATACTGGCAGACATAGCCCAGACATTTAATAAAAAAATAACAATAAAAGCAATCTATTCACTTTTGTTATTTAAAAATAGAAGTCATTTGTTTGCGTGTCGGAACGTGGTCTTAAAAATGTATAAAATTTGTGGAGAGTGCTCGCTGAGAGAAAATTGAATTGCTCGGAAGTTAAGATTAGGATAATTAGTTATTTAACAAAATTGCTTTATTAAAATAATAGTAATTCTAAAGCACCGCGAAGACAATAATGATATCGATGACAGGTTACTTTAGTGATTGCACGTGCAGCGGATTAGGCGGCTTGGGTTTTATTGGTAGCTGATTCTAGGTACGCTGCTACTACAAACGGCTGCTTGAAAGAGCATGATTAGGGGTTCATGCTTCTTCATATTCTTCGGTTGTGCGATGATGTGCTGAGTTCAAGCAAGAAAGAAGTATATTATTCCACTTACGACGGGGAACGCCATACATCAGTAGTGACTGAACAAACGATTAAAAAGTTAAAAACATATTCTTGGCGGATCGTTGTGTTACTGTTCGTTTTGTAGCAGAAGAAATGATTTCTATATGAAGTGTTGATAATAATAAACACAACTGAATATATATATGAAAGTATCAGGGACGGAAGTGGGTACCCAGAATGCTTTCTGACGCGCAGAAACAAATGAGAATGAGAATTTAAAAAATCTGTTTGGTTTTGTTACATCATTGATACATAACAAGGTAAAACTTCCGGAAACGAAAAAGCAGTTCATGACGTGGAAGAAACGCCCCCGCGCATAAGTCCAAAGTTGCGATGGCTGCCAGTAAAGAAATTGATTTCGAATTAGTAAACGTAAAACTGTTAATGTTTGGTGTATATTATTTTAGATTTTATGAATGTATAATGTGTGTTTTTAAGTATAGGAAATCTGTGGCGCGATAGGAGTTCACGCATGCATTCTAGTACCTCAAAAATGACAGAGCATCAACGACACATGCCACGAGCATAGAGTATTTATTTAGAAAAAAATAACAATAGAAACTCCTTACAACATTTGATATTCTGTGTATAAAATATGTCATTGTAAAATCGTTCGTAATTCAAATTTGACATCGACATAGGGAATTAACTCACGGGTTTGATAACTTTATGCATTTTCTTGTGGGTATGAAGAGCGCACATGCTGCCCAAAACTTTATCGCATTCTTCACAAACGTAAGCCATTAATGGAGTCCCTGGGGGTCGGTCTTCTCCCCTTTTGTGACGGTATAGCTCCCTGCAACCCATATTCTTGTAGGCTTAATAATCATTTTTATATATGGTATGGGTCACACATAACCAAATTGTATGCGTGTTTATTTATTATGAAAATAGGTAGGTACAGATTATAACTTGAGGTTTAGTCTCATTATTAGTCAAACCAAAAATAAAAAACAAAAAAATAGGGCAGATTAATACCAACCTAAGGTATAAGGCGATTAATAATTGAAACGAACCTTAACAATGGCGTTTAAACACTGAGAGTGTATAAACACCACAGTATAGATAGATAGTTCTATAGATAGTTAAAATTTTTGAAGTTATACTTCTTTAGGCGCGTTATGTAAAATTTATAACAGTGAAATTTTACGATGCGCGCGCACCGTGACACAAAATTATCAGTATGGGCGCCGAGCGTGCGCGAGCGAGATGGGAATAAGACAATCTACAAGTAAAAAGAAAAAGAATATGCGTGCAGCTACGCCAAGAATTTTGAATGACCATAATGACATTTGTAGTACCTTTTACACCTTTAGTACACCTACGCAATCGCATCGGCATGCGGCAGCGAAACGACGAAAAAACTGTAAGTTGTATGGCAACGTTTCGCATGTGTTTTGTCACGCTCTATTATATAGCTAGATGAAATAGTTGCGTCCTTGTCGGTATTGTTTCGCAAGTAACTGCGAAATGGCTGTTACACAGACGCAGCCGTTTCGCTAGCGGAGTTTCGCATCGCAATGCGTCACCACGCGTTCTGTCAGTGAGGACAGAATTTCGCACAATGGAAGCCGAAAATATTGAATTATTAATTTGATTCGAAATTATCCCGAATTATATTTAGTTGGGCATGTTAATTACAAAAATGCATACAAAAAAGAGGTGGCATGGAGGAAAATTCAAGAAAAGACGGGGATAGATGGTAAGAAATGAAGCTACAATGACATTTCCTTGCGAAAAAACTGCAGTGTACTAATGTTCCGCAGATATTTCGCTACCGCAATTATTTCGCAAAGACTCGCAGCCGCATACGAACGCGTAGGTGTACTAAAGGCGTTAAACAAATAAAGGCGTTTTAATTATTTTTTCAAAGAAATTTAGCAATGCTTTTCACAAAGACCTATTGTTACTTAGTTAAAAGGTTATGAAACATACCCAGTTATTAAATTGAATTAATAGTATAATAAAATAATAAATAATAATTATTATTAATATTAATTAATAATTGAATAATATACTAAATATTGTTAAATTATTAACGCTAAATATTTATTATTAATAAGAAAGCCAAAGAAGTATAACTTCTTACGCGCGTACATGAGTACACGCACCATTTTTTTTTTATTTCTAGACGTAGCTAGAACTGTACGGCACCTGGTAAGAAGTACGCAAGATGTAAAAAAAAAAAAAATATATGTTTATTATGGAACATAAGATACAGGTATCACTTATTCCACGTCATTAAATTTGAATTTGTAGGCATCCCTACTCATCGGCAAAGAAGGCAGAGGGTGTAGAAAAAAAAGGCCGAGAGAAAAAGCCGGCGTAAAAAACTCTCGGTACTCTTTTAAAATAACAAATCATCAAACAATACTTATTTTAAAACAAATATCGCAAATTAATTATAAGTAGTCTGTCTAGAACTAGTCCCAGGCCCTTTTATCAACTATATAATCGTTAACTTAGTAAGCCTTTTTACACAGATTTTCTTTAATTTATTAAAAGACCTCTGGGATTTTATTGAAGAAGAGTATCCCTTTTCCCAAAAAAGAATTACTAACTTTAGATAGTCTAGTACGGGGAAATTGCAGCCTGCGTTTGCTCCGAGTATTAACATTTAACATTGTGCGTATGTAAGTATAATTCTCTTAATTTAGTCCAGTCATATTTTTTAACCTTATGCATGCTTCAGTATTATTTATTTGATTTTACGATATAAACTATAGGGCCTAACGCTAATAAGCGATCTGTTCCAGGCAACCCTTATAATAGAAAACAAACATATAGCAATGATTTAAATGAATATTATGATGAATACGTAGTTGTGATAGATGTTTAAATGAAAGTATTCTAATTAAGCTACCTATTGTCAAAGACTTTACTTTAATTGTTTGTGCTATTACGATTTTCTATATTTTCCTTTAGTCTTATTTAGTAGTATATTTATTTTGGTTTTCTTTACACGCGATCCGTTTATAAAAATTCAAATATTCGGGGGTCATTAATTTTGTTTATTATTACCAGTAGAAAGGATTATAATACCTTGCAGTAGCAAAAAGTTGATTACAAGACCCACAATTCCACATTTTACTGTCCGAGCTGCGTTTATACGTGCGATGAGGACGTGTTTCTCGATGGCTGTCTTCGTGGTTCCTCAATTCGATTTCAGTGGGAAACTCCTGTCCGCAATATGTACAGGACAAGTCCAACGTTTCGGGAGGTGGTTGTTCGTTCTTAAAAAGAAATTATGTGAGTTATATTATAAGTTAGGGCTGAAAAATCCGTTAGCAAGAAGTTACTCCCGATTAAAAAAATATCAATCTCACAAAAAGAAAATATATTTTAAACTTTATTTTCCAAGAAAAACTTACCAATTCATTTTTACGTGTACAAGTAAGTTTATGTCGATCGAGTGCTTCACCGTCAGCGAACAAATAATTACACACATCGCACACAAACATAGCGTCAAGTTTTCGTGATCCCACGCACCCTTTGCCAAAAGCGTCAAGACAGCACAATTGTTCTAAAAGTTAAAATCTGTGTATAAGACAATTTCCGAAAACGACTTCCATTACCATTTTAGAGTGATACCTTAGTTACTTTTTTGCTGTAAGAATAGAAAATGAATCACGTAACGATGGTGAGTTTCGTTTGATTGTGATTGGTCAACAGAATCTAGTTCAATCACAGACGCTCGACTTAATCCGTTTGTCCAATTGCAATTAAACGAAACATATTCATAATTATTCCATATGAATATCAAACACATAGGTTCTACGTGTCATACGTATGACTCGTTTACTAATTTTTCCGCAATTCTTACCATTAGGTTCGATTTCTAATGCCATCGATAATACACGTTCACAAATGCAACAAACTAGCCACTCTGCGTCAAAATTCGTGATGCTGCTGGTATCTAACGAAAAAAAATTAAATATAGGAATTTGTTTTTATCAAAATTTAAATAGATACATTAGTTCCCGCCAAATCCCGCCATTTATAAGAATTTAGACAATCATGTGTCAAATGACTATGACGTAAAATGAAGTCGATTAGTTATCTGTTACATATTAAGTATATCTACAAACTACAGTCTTAAAGTTATTAACCCCGATACCGATAATAATACGAAAAGCGAGTCGAAAATATATAAAATTGGTAATCTAAGTTTTTTGTATGTATGGAAATAAGAAAAATGGTACCTTGTAGTTCAAAATTTGTACAAGTAGTACCGGTTTCAGAAGCGGATACATTTATTGAAGCATGCATTAGAATAGTATGATCTAAAAGATCGGCGTCAGTAGTAAATATATCATGACAGATAACACATGAAAAAAGCGCTAAAATATCTGGGCCGTTATTCTTGTCATCCTAAAAGCATATTGCATAATATATGAATGTGATTCAATAAATGGGTTTTTGTTTTATTGGAATTAATAGTTACCTCATTTGAATTTGAAGATGTTGGTGTAGGTATCAGAAACTGGTCTACTATATTTTCGTCCAATAATGTTGATTCATCATAAAATGAATTATGAATTGGTACGATACTAGCAATATTGATGTCATTTTGGCAACTCTGAGTATTAAGTTCAGTTATGGATTCAGTTCCAATAGAAAAATGCTGACCTGAATCGTTACAACTTAAAAGTAAATTGTTTTTAACAGGGGATATTATCCCTTCAGTTACAGGTATAGAATTTTTTTCAATACTTTCGGTTCCATTTTCTATTATTTCATGAGTAAATAGAAGGGTATCAGTATCAAATCGATCTTCTAAATCCAAAGTTTCCGTAAAGTCCCTGTACGAGAATTCTGGAGACTCATACATTTTTGTTAGCTCTGAAAATTAAAATAAAGTAATACATTTTTACGACATAGTTTCGCATTATATAATTTTATTTACTGCGCTTACACTTATCATAGAAACGGTTCTTCTATGATAAGTCATAGACTATTCCCCTTATTCATAAAAAATACAATCATCCTCGAATAATTACTGAATATTTCAAACTTGTCGCTCTTGTATCGTTTTGATAATAAGTAAATGTGACGAAATATTATAAGACCGTTATAAAGTTAAATATTAGAATGATACACTTTATACTGTGGTGTTTAGTAATCATGATGACTTTGATCTACTAACGTTTTGACGTTGACTTCTTACAAACAGATAATCATTCACCAATCACCAACGACCAATCAGCATTCCTTCATTCATGCATTTATATTTGTAAGGGTGTTTGTTTATGTTGCGGTGTTTTTGCAAAAGGCTGTTTTGATTGAATTCAGTGCTTTTTATTACATAAATTGCAAGATAATATCAAAATGAAAGTTGATGTGCCAGCTCCAAATGATAAATCAAAGATCCCATTGCCGACCCTTTCTCAGATAAATGCCGATAGAATAACACTGGTAAGTAGAGGTTATATTTTCATAAATTTTTTATTAATAAACACTGCACTAGATTATAAATAATTATTTTAAATTTCCTACAAGTCAACTTTAAAAAACATACATATTGCATAACATCACGAAATTTTTCTGGAATTTTTCAACAGTATAATGGGAAAGACCAAATAAACATTTCTTTATTATAAAGTAACTGTATAATTTTAAAACAATAAATTGTAATTTAACACTCACAGACATCTGTTATGTTATGATTTCGGAACTCCTAACTTATATACAATAGCCTCGAGTCGATAGCTCGAGTAGCTTTTGTAATTCAAAATCTCTGGGATTTAATAGAAATTGTTTTTAATCATATCCGAAAAATCTCTCACTCTTTGTATTTCAAAATATATTTGTTTTTATATTATTAAGCTATTTTTAGCATAACGGGTAAAATGGGAAAAAACTCTTAATAATGAAGATAGCATTTTATTACCAAGAAACTTTATTTTTAAAGGGGAAGAAAGCTGTGTCTGCTGTTTCTTTACTTATTACTTAGGCCTCTACTCCTAAATAATTCAATCTTATGTTTACTGTATCTAAAGTCTAAACATATTCAATCTAATACTATGAATATAATAATCAACTAAAATCACTTCCCTTTTATACAATTGTAAAGCCAACTGGTATTTAATAATCCAAATCTATGTTACTCACCTAATTGATTTAAATCACTATGGTTGATATTTCAGCTTGCAACCCAATATTGGTCACCTCAAACTAAAGATAATCACTTGCCCTATGATGCTGCTATTGTGGAGTCCATATATCAAGCAGAGATCCTTGGATCAAAGTAAGTATCTTATAATTTTAAAATACATATATTATTTTTTTTATCTTAATGTCTTAGCCCTCTTGAAATGGACAAAAGACTGTATTGGGTTCAGTGGCCTTATAGATTGAGTTCAATGACCCCATTTGTTTCAAAAACATTTATGGCATGTTATTATTTTGATAAAAAAATAAAAATTATGAGCTTATAACTTTTTATTAATTAATAGTTAATATTAGTTTTAGTCTTTACATCATATTAAAAATATAAATAACAATAGATTAAGATATTATAGAATAAGTAATTGTATTGATTTTTTTATAATTTTATTTCTACCATCTTAGTCTATATTTATATATATTTTAAACTGTGTTTTCTCAGTTCTAACTATTACTATTAAACCATACCAATTAAAAGTTGGTGGTAATTGCCAAAGCTTTTGATTTGTATTAGAGAAAAAACATTATCACGACACTTGAGTATTTTGTTTCGAGAGTTGCAAACATATTTTTTTAATTTAAGAACCTATTATAATGTGTTATAATTGATGATTTTCAGTTTTTCTGTACGGCGTATAATGATGTTGGAATTTTCTCAATACCTCGAAAATTATTTGTGGCCACATTATGAGACGGGGAAGGCATCTCACGCTCATATGATGTCAATAATCGTAATGATTAATGAGAAATTCCGTGAGAGGGTCCCAGCATGGCAGGTAAGTCATCTTTAGCTCTGTTTAGAAACCTAACATAATTGGAAATAGACAGATAGGCAAACTCTATTATGTTTCAAACTCAAAATAACTTTATTCATATACACTAGTACACATGAAGGTCAGAAAAGAAGTTAAATTAATTCTAAATTTACATATACTACCAGTTCGCAAGTCTAGGACGTAGAGTGGGCAAGAAGAACTGGCAAGAAACTTTCCTCCACTCTTTTTAATTGCTAAGTTTTGAAATTTTGTTAAAACATGTTGATTTAAACCCTCATTAAAATTCATTTTATAATGCAATACTGAGTTTTTAAATTTTTTAGTTTTTCTCATTCATATTAAAACAGAAATATTTTTTTGTTTATAACAAATAAACTCAAGACTACTTGCATTGAGATATTATAGTAAATATCAATTCTAGTGAAGCTAGAGACATAATGTATAGTTATTGAAGTCTTCATATGATTTTCATATTTATAGAATTATATTCTTTTACAGGCATTACTAAAGAAACCAGATGACTTTCCTGGCTTCTTTGAGCAAGTTCTTCATGCAAGTGTAGCGGAAGACCATTTAAGTAACAATATGAGGGAGCAGACAAATCTCCTACTCTTTTTGAACCATTGCTTTGGGAGTATGGAGGTGCAATTATGCAGAGATCAAGTGAAACGATTGGTGTCTCTGAGCATGTGGATTAGTTTACAAGAAGGTGAGAATCAATAAGGCTAAAGCATGATTTGTCCATCTGGCACAAAAAATCTGTTGCCAAGGACTGTATAAACACCATTAAATTTCATTCAATTAGAACCAGTACATTAAGAATTATATCTAGTTAAATTTCTTGACTTTGTCACTCATTGACTCACCAATCGTTAAAACTCTAAGGCACTTCTAGCAGACATAGAATCTTTAAATTTAGTATACAATTAGTGTTTAGTGTATAAATCAAGGAAAACTAAAATATTTTGCTAATAGCTAATTATGTATACAGAAGGTAGGGACTGAATAAATTAACCAACTTAATATTACATGGGTCTCACAACTTTTTACGGTAGAAGAACTACGTTGCGAGACTTGGATTTTTACAAGTTATGTTTTTTGACGGCATTGTATTGACACAGAACTATACGGATATTTTCAAAGTACAAAAGTTCTTTTTCAAGTACACTACATAAGTAGATTCATATTAATTAAATTTCTATATAATTTTTGAAGTAAATCAACATGTATACGTATTAATGAGATTCATTATTCATTAACAAAGTATAGTAAACAACAAATAATTTTTCTAAATATTAGAGGACCCGACAGACTGCATGATATTTTGCAAGTACGAAATGAAAGACGAATAATATACTAATTTCATTATTCTATACTTTGAAATAACAATTCTTCTAAATACAATTCGTTATAATCAATAATGTTTGTATTAGCGTCACTAAGATGGGCAGCGTTTTTGTCGAAGAAAAGGGAGAGAGCGATTGAGACCGATTGAGAGAGAGTGAGAAAGGGGGAACGTAGCAATATACGAAATTCTATTTTTAAAATTCATATTTTGTAAAGAGAATTTATTCGTCAAATATTTTAGTCGTCATTTGAGTGTTCATTAAATTATTTTGTAACAATAAAATATGGGTATACAAATACACACATGTAGTGATCATATACTGGTACATGATCATCTATTGGGGCTTTTACCTTAGTAATAATTCATTTACAAAAAAGTTTCACTTCTGCCTTGTGTACCTTGTACGCACGCACTTTTTTATCAGTAATTTTTTTTATCACATCTATTCCAAAAGTACAGGCCGTCACCGTAGCTTTTTTAGTCCTAGTTATTCACAGTAATTTGAATTTCGAATGTGTATAATGATAATAAATGTTTCAATAACCAAAGAGTCCCATACACAAATATTCTATGAAAACATTACTGGCTGTCAACAATAATTGGCGCGCAGACCAAATTTAAAAAAAGAAGTCTGCAAAAATAAAATCGCGCGAAACCCTTTTGTATTTCACATAAAACTTAAAAATTACTCTGCCTCAAGTAGCGATAAATATTGTTCCTGTTTGTAAGATGATTCAGATGTTTATTTAAATTTTAATTAACGTTATAAGCAAAATTATTTACGAACACACAGGTCGACGAAATCAAGAGTTCAAAAACGTGCCAAAATGGCGGAAGTATTGGAGGGCCATACAGAAGAAAGACAAACCTGAACTTTTAGATAAGTTGAACTGGGAAAGGCGATACTTGCAGAAACTCATGATTAAATTTATGAGGACATTGGAAAGCATTCCTGAGGAGGGTGATGTTAACCCAGATAAAATTAGGTAATACACTTTATATACATACAGAATTCATGTGTGACATTTTGACATGTGTTTACTAACAAGAATAAAACATTCAGTGGGCATAGTATGTGGATAATTAATTAACCTTCTGCTAGCTTTGTTTGGCGAGTTGATAATGATTGTTTTTTATGGGTTTTTCATTTTAGGTTCATTCAAGTTAATAATGAACTTAGGTAAACGGCGGTAAAACTTAAATCCTTTACCTTAAGTAATTTTTTAAGATGATTCTAATAGATTTTTGTTTCGAGACTAGAACTGTTTTTCCGGGAATCGAACCTGGAACCTCTATGAAGAAATTAAGACCATATTTGAATGACTAAGCTACGGAAGTAGTAATTTAAAACGTATATGCATGTAATGTTTATCAGATACTGCGAGCGATTCCTGGAGCTGATGATCGACCTTGAAGCATTATTACCAACACGACGCTTCTTTAACACCGTCATGGACGATTGTCACCTGGTAGTCAGATGTCAACTAGCAAAACTCGCTGAACGCCCGGAAGGACAGCTTTTCTCACAGGTAAGTTTTAAAAAAAATACTTAATAAATGCTTTAATAGGAACTATCACATTTTTAGATTATGTGTTTAATGGTAAACAGCAAGGTCTAAGTGTGTTTAAGGTAGTTTAAAATGCATTCACTTAATAATAGATTTATTAACTGACATTGAAATGTTTATCTGAGCGAATAGTCAATAAACACTATAGTGAGGGTTATTTTACTAGAAGACAAATATCAGGAAACAACTTTTGTCTCCTGTTTGATGTCAGCCCATAACCTGACTGAATGAATGCTTACATAGGTTAGGTAAATCATAGTATATTCAGGTATCATAATATATTCTATATAAATTTGTAGAAAATTTATGTTTGAAAGACTTCTTACATTAATTAACTAGCAACTTAAAAAAACTTTATGAAAATTTTATTACACCATCATTTTATAAGCAGATATAAAAGAAAACTCAATATTATTCAATATCAATATTTATTTTGTTGTATACATACTCATTAACTACATTAGTAATAAAAATTATAACAAGATCATTAATTATGTCTTTGTATATAGTGCATACATCTAGGCGTTTTGTCTTTAGAGAGCAAAATATTTCCAAAATTGTGATTTTTGGACGGATATTTTTATAAAATTCGAGATATTGTTTACAATACAATAATAATAAAAATATTTACTTAAATACAGTTAGTGATTTGTGCATTGTCCTGTGATCCTGTCATAATGATTAAAGCTTCTTAATCGTTAAACCCTAGATGTTAGTATGGTGCTATTTTCATAGTGAGATTAACCAATAAAATAATTAAGTATCCTCAATGAGCACTTTAAATTATCACAATTTTTGATATAAATGCTATTTGTCAATTTAGTCTTAACATATGTAAAATTCGTTTAACTTGCAAGGCATTTTTATTCTACTTTGTATATTCTTAATTCTACCATAGCTGCCAGGAATCACTCAAAAATAATACAATAAGGCACAAATTTTGAAGGAAAAGCTCACACATCACAGAGTAACTACAACTTCTAGTTTGTGTTTAACTTTATCTTAAACTAGTGAAGATTCAAAATTTCCTTTGACTTAAAACTATGAGAATATGTTTTTTATGATGAGCGTGATTTAAAATTTTTTGTTTTGAATATAAAGATAGGTAATTATCAAATATACTATGTTAATCACTAGTTCACAAAATTATACTTAAGTCTATAAACATAACTGATCCAGTAAAATGATCTTATGCATTAGTAGTCTATTGATATTGATATACATTAACTGTATGCACCATGAAACCATGGAACCTTAATTATAATTATATAATATGGATTTTGGTATCGGGCTTGGAAAGCAAAATAAACCTAATAATTCCCACCATTCATATGAGTCATTTCATCGCCCCACTCCCCGGTAGGTACAGGCTGAGCATAACAACAACTTTTCCTAAGTAAAAATGTTACATGAGACTGTCTTACCACACAAGTGTAGAATATGAAGATGGCTTGCAATAAATTCACTACTATATGTGCATACAGCAGCGCATCAAAGTTCAACCATGATAATAGTAGAAACAACCATGATATTGTCATTATTAAAAACATTTGCAAGAATAAATCGAAACTAAAAAAAAAAAAGAGTATTAACCACTTACTAAATGTTATATTTGTAATTGATTATGTGTAGATAAGAGCTGGGGGGTTACTCTAAACTTAGCCCATAGCAGACAGAATTACACATTTAAGAAATGTATTTTTTTTAAACATTTTGTTAGGCTATGTGAGTAAAATGTCACTTACCATCCTTTTAACTTGTAATGTATCCTTCCATAAATATTTATTCTCTTAATTACCTTCAATGTTGTGATATAGAAGAATAAATTGAATATTATGGTAAATGCAACTGGGGTAAAAAATATAGCTATGCCAAGCCAGCCTAGAAACATGTTATATATTATTGTTTGTTTTGATTTTAGAAATAAAACTTTAATTTTGCATTGCATTTCCGAACTTTACTTACCTATAGTTTCTTGTTCCACATCATCAACAAGTATTGAAGATGAAAACTGTTTTTTCATTTTTCTATATGGATTAGTTCCTGTATCCAAAAGAAAATGTGCACATATTGCCATCCCTGCCATTAGTGCTACACTTGACCAGACCACACTTGAATAGTAACAATATTTGCGCACATCTGTTACTCTTAGAAACACATTTCTTGATCTGAAGAATTTACAAAATATTTTAATGTGTGTAATAATTTAGTCTTAACAAAAGTACATATTCTATTATTTTCGAATTAAAAACACTTACTTGAATGTTTTCCATATATAAAAGCCAAAACTATTTAACCAGAAGAAGGCTCCTAATAAGCTTATATATAAAATTATATCTGTAAGTTAAATGTAATATTTATAGGTGTGAAACTTTGCTAAGTTTTATTTTTATAAATGTAGTTATAAAATAGCTCACCTGTCACCATAAAACTGACATGATTACTTAATTCTGTAAATATTCTTACAAAATCTGCCGCTTGGCTCACAATAAGACAAACATTTATTGTAGTTATGATATTTCCAGCCAAATCCCTTAGAGTTGGTAATACAAAATAAATTATAGCAACTGTCAAATACAAAATCATTGCTATAGCATGAAATATAGGGTTAAGTATCTTTTTCATTAAGAAATCAGAGTCCTTCCAATTTATTTTCACTACTGGAACACAAACAAGTGCATATTGACCTGTTGTATTGGAATTTGTAATTAAAATCTGTAACCCAAAATTAATGTTATTAAAATATAGATATTTAATTTAAATGATCACTAACAATACTGTTGACAGCACACTTACCTTATCCATACAATATTTATTTTGATTATGAATGTATGACGATGGTTCTTTTGAATCAGGCATTGAAATGATGTCATGCAAGTTAAATGTACTTGTAACTAAAGGGTCATTTTTAATTGATTCTGAATTTACTTGATGATGTATTAAGTGCTTTAATCGTCCATCTGACAGGAGATTCAATCTGGAAATAATTATAATGAAAATCCAAAACATTTTATGATTGAATTTACAGTAACTTTTTCTTTAACAGTAAACATACTTGTCTTCAGATTTTCCTAAGTCAAATATTGGTCTCAGTTCAGTTGTTTCACAATTTGGTACCCCATGTATAAATCTAAAATACTTAAGTTTAACTTCCTCTCCATTTTCAGTCTTAAATATTGGATTCCAAAGAGCTGCAAATCAAAAGCTTAGTAAACCTATTGCTATGTCTAAATCAGTACTATACAGACACACAATACAAAAGGAACGTTTATACTAACTTTCATTGTATTTTTCCGCTAAACGACACACTGAGTCAACAGCAATTTCGTTTTCTTCACAACATTTGTTGATTTGTACAGAATTTTGTTGCTCAGACAAATCATTTAAGTCTGTATCGCTAACTTCAGCATATGTGTATAGTACAATTGTAAACAGTACAAGGAATACCACGTTATAATGCATCATGTTTATTCATGCAACTATAAAAAGTATAGTTTTATTCCACATCTGAATGCACTTTTATATCACAACTTTAAAGTTTATAGCAGACATATTTAAGCATTATCACCATATTCCAGAAGTTAATAAGTATTGATAATTAATTTATATTTTCTGCTCATGAGCTAAATATCGGAGTAAAAAGTTAAACTTGCAGGTTGCAATGCGTATGGCTTGATTCATAGATTTCCGATTTGCACTTTACATGTTTGATGTTTGAATTGTGAATGACAGTTATTTTATCTATCTTTTGACAATTTACATAGAGTAGACGTCTTTGTCTTTGACAAACGTCTGTATCGCTTGTTTAGCGTATTGGAAATACAGACTATAGTATTTTTTTGTCTATAGTATCTTGAACATTTTTTCCCATGAGGCATGATTTTTCTTGAAATGGGCATTACATTCATTAATTCGAGAATTAAGATCTAAATAGGTGCCAAGTTCAATGATTCGATTCTTATATTTGTTTATGGACATGGATTGAGTTTCAAAAATTCACTTGGTGTTAATTAGATTTTGATTTATGAGCGGTTCAAGTATGTGAATATTATGGATGGACTAACCTTGGCCCATACCTTGAAAAACCTAACACACACTGCATTAGTTGTAAGGGTTCAATAATTTAATTTAAAGTATTAACGGGTTATAGATATTACATGTAGCAAAAAACAATATTAAAAAACGTATTTTTTTAAATATACTTTATTTAACAAGCAAAACACGCGTTGTGCTTACCACATAACGCGACATAAAGTAAAGGTACATTATAATAATAATATTCCGTAGATTATACACCAAAAATAGTCAGATCATATTTTAAATTTAAATTTACAACAATTATGGCACGTACGTCTCTCATTTAAATGTAGGAAATATTATGAGTGTTACAAAGTAGTTCTAGCAAGTACTAATACATAATTATTGTTACATATTCGTAATTGTTTTGTAAAAATATCATTGACAATTACTTTAATTATACGTACCTACCTAAAATTAATAAAAAATATATTTACATTTTATTTAACATAATTATAATATAGAGATTCTATTATAACGCGAATATATTATACAATTTTGATAATAACTATTCAAATGTATGCAGCAATATAATATAATTTTGTATTAAGAGGTCTTTAAAATATTTTCAATTATATTTATGAAAATAGTTCTACTGAAATTATTCTACTGAAAAGCGCTTAGGTAAAATACCCTATGTCTTTCTTCAATTTGTGATTTTGGTTGCATCTGTGCTCATTAAAAACCATTCTTGAATACAAATAGAATTATATGATATATTCACAACGTATACAAAATATACCCTGCTTTACCATATTAATTAAGCCTAACTTCTACTGTATCATCTAGCATTTGCTCTTCATCAGCGTCATCATCTGGGCTTAATTTGTTAGCCAGTGGTCTGGTGATGAAGAGACAGAATCCCTCTTCGGCAAGTCCTCGCATTGCACGACGTCTTAGAATTACCAATATCAGAAATATCACGATACCTTGGAGGCAGTTGAAGGTGTCCATTATTTTCCTAGAAATATACAATAACAGAAGTCTTTATACTAAATTTATACGGTCCTACCCCGCAAATTTATTCAGGCTTGTAGAACACTCTCTAGATAACACTATTAAATATTTGTTTACTTTCTCTGACTAAATATCTTCGATATGCGTTCTTAAGCACGGTTATAAGGGTGAAGGGGCGTTTTTAGCTGTCTAAACAAATAGTCGTAAAGATTTACATAAATAAATTTGACTACCACATATTCTTAAAAATGTATATTACATTAATGTATAAATAATTGTTGTAAAATATAATGTTAAAACAATGCAATAAAACGTACCAAAGGATATGTTTCTCTCCATGTGCAAAACTGGCTATTTCAAATATCCAATTAATTCCCATTACAAGGAATAGTTTTAGCGATACAAGGAATCTGTAAGATAATAATATTAATATAGGTTTAAATTAAACAAATCTCCTAAAAAGTTACTAAACGTATCGACAAAACTTACTTGCGCTTAAGATAATTTAGTTTGTTAACCTCATATTTCTTATTGTGAGTCCATAAGGTGTAGGAGGATAGTATAAAAAGGACGATGTTAATAGCAATGAGGATCGCGACAGGGCCATAGAAGTAAAGCCAGGTTTCAGCGCGCCCTGAAATTTCAAATACATTTTAAAGTCAATGTCAAAATCGTTTATTCACATCACGTCAAAAAAGATATACATAATTAATACTTCTAATTTTACATTTACTGCCAGTTCTCAAAATCAAGGGCGTAGAACGGAAGAGAAGAATTGGCAATAAACTCTCCGGAACTCTTTTAATCGCCAAGTTTATTGTTTTTTTTTAAGTTTATTTTTAACTTAACGCAATGAAAACGTTATACAAACTACACTTATAATATCTGGAACACTTGCGACATAAAATATGTTTTTATCTGACTGTTTCTCTATCTTCTATCGGCAGTTACAGATTTTGATAAAGATCAAACACACAAGCCGTTGGCAAATACTTCTTTTTTTGACCTTGATCGCAATTTTTTTATACATTTTGTCATACTACGAAGCTATAATACTGTTAAAAAGTTGGTATTATTATTATTAGCTCTCACAAGACGGAACTGACAATTACGGCTGAGATAAACAAGAAATCTTAGAAATAAGTAGGTAAGAAATTACCAGATTTGATAAATCTACGTGAATGTTGCCTACATCTAGGAATATTAGTTATTTACCGTTAAACCAGCAGGAGCCTTGCCCTATACCGGGCTTGTAATGGTTTCCCTCGACGAAGTTCGTGGTTAAGGCTATCACAAGGAAAGCCAAGGTGCAACCCCAAGCATAACTGTTGTAGATTAAGCACTGCTTTCGTTCCGTCTTTTTCAGATATGTTGCATCCCTGAAGTAAGGAAAGGTATTAGTCCCTTTTATTAACTTTTGAATGAATGAAATGAATTTTAATCAAGACTTACTGTACTGTGCGATACATGTTGATGCTTATCACATTCATCCAGAAAAATGTTGCCATCATCCAAAAGTAGACTAGGAAACCTGAAACAATATGTCAATCCACCATATAAACCAATTCAATCAGAAATATTCAAAGAGTATTGGCCTAGTGGTTTCAGCGTGCAAATCTCATCCATTAGGTTGTAGGTTCGATCCCCAATGCAACAATGAGTTTCTGTATATATAACATTCCCTCGAACAATCATACGGCGTGGGTCAGGCACAGAAGGCTGATCCTACTTGCCTTTTAGATTAACAAATGATCATGAAACAGTTACAGATATCTGAGACACAGACCTAAAATTAAGGTTGTAGTGCCACTGGTTTTTTTTTATATAATTAACTTATGAAATACCTGTTACTGTGCACATGTCGCCCATAAATCCAGGACTTATCTGCATAATGCCGAGTGATAGAAAACCAAGTGCCATACTCATGCACATACAGATGTAGCATATTCCTTGTAGGTCCCTGGAAACGTCAATAATTATGTATCGGTTACTTTAACATATATAATAATAATTTTATTTTTATATATGTTAAATTGTAGATTAATAATTTTAATTACATATTATTCAAAAAATAACTTTACTACAAGGTACGTTTTATATTGTATATGAAAATGTTGGTTTCGATTGGAGCTATATAATTTATTTATTAACTATTCCTACACCTAGTTTACAACCCAGTAATTTATTATTACACATTATCGAAAAGGAAACTCACATACATAAACATAAAACACAGAATTAATGAACTATTCTGTGTGCGGTTGATTTGCGGACATTTTAAATGCCTACTGACCTATTTTAAGAGAAATACTGATGAATAAAAGTTAGTGCTGGAAAGTAGTATGTATATGATTCGACTTACCTGAGTTGTGGTAGGTAAATGTAAACTGCCGAAGTAGCAAGCAGGAATACAACTGACACCAGGGTGAGAATACCACTAGTCTCAATATCATTGGAGGGTTTTATCTCCTCATAACACATCACAGCAACTGGAATCGTGCCTAGCAGAGGTGAACTCTGATTTCTATACATTTGGCTCAGGCAGTAACTGAAATTATTAGATTATGTTCTAAATAGTTTTTCCAGTTGAATTTATTCGGAGTATTTGAGGTGGTCGATAACTACCATACAGAGTACTGATAAGTAAAAGAGGCGTGAATTGACTGAAAGATTCAGTAAAGCTGGGAAAGGGACTTAATTTAAACGAATGAGAATTCTTAATATTCTGTATGTGGCAAAAACAACGCTTCATGTTTTGTTTTACAATATGGTCATTGTATAGAATAATCTGTGATCACTGACCGATCTGGATCATCTGTGAATGCGTATCCAGGAGAATCCATAGTAGACAAGCTGGTTCCATTCACAATAACATCTTTCAAAAGCATATGCCCCAAAGTGCAGTTCATATTGACTCGTGTCGTTCTGCAGTAACCGCCTGATCTCATTATAACGTTGTCTGGGCAGCATTGTTTTAAACCCAGGGTAATCCCACATCCTAATAATACGAAGAGGATGATGGTCTGAAATTATTAAATTATATGTAAGTTAATAAAAATTATACGCAATTTTTACGTTTAATGTGGGTATACAATTTCAGTGTAGTACCCGCATTTTCCCAATGTGGGTTTGAAAGATTCTGTTATATGAACAGAATCTTTCAAATCTTTTGATTTTGAAATCTTTTGATTAAAAAGAATAGTGTTTCACATTCAGTTTATCTTTCAAATGGCAGTCTCTATAATATACAGACAAAGAATGAGAGAATACGCAACCATATAACCCACGTACAAAATACCTATTAATACTACAAAATAATCGGTGATTTACTGCACTTTAAATCTAGAATAATAAACGTTTGTGGGGTCAGGGTCAAAGGAGCATATTAGTACTTTGATAACGGTATATCTTTCACTCTGTGTCCGGTTATTGAACTGTTCGTTATAGTAATTATTAATTTTGATAATTAATTTTCATGTGAATAATGAAATCAAACCAGTTCGCCATATTTTAATTAATTATTTATAAATAAATAAAAAAATTAAACTGTTACCTAAAATAGGTATTAACGTTTTTTAAATATAAAATCTGAAAATAATATTGTATTATTACTATTCTTCTCGAAGTTTTATCTCGATGTTTAAATTTGACATACTTTGATAATAGCGTTGACACTCGTAACGAAGAATGTACTAAATTTTACCATGCGAATAAATTAGATTATTTACAGAATGCTTTACAGCTTTTATGGGGACAGTCGGAGACTATGTATATTATATTATTGAATGAGTAGTACTCGCGCACCAAAGACCATGTAGAACGTGAACCTTATCACTTCTACCCACTTATATAAAAGATAAAAATTCTAGCGTATGTAAAATATGGCGTTATTTTCTATTTATAATTAAAACATTGAAGATTGAATTATATTTAATTGTAGCCCAGCAAGATTTTTGACATGATTTAGTATTTATTGTAATAAATGCTATTTACAGCAGATACAACAAAATAATAATTTAAACAAAACATCGTACACAATATTTTCAAAGGATTTATCATTTTCTGTATCTTATAATTGTTTAGTCACAGTAGTATGACAGGTCAAATATTGATAATGTGTCAAAATTCAGCATTGTATAACAAATCTCTTTACGTATTTAACGTCTCTTATCGTAATTTTTTCAGATTCCGTTACACGTAATAAATCTTGACTCTGAATCATACAGAGCCAAGCTACCGACTTTAATGCGACTTTCAGCAATTCAGGTTCAAAAGATGATTTCACTACATAATCTAACAAAGTCGTTCGACACGTCTACTCGATTAACTTAAAAAATATGGTATTATATGGGGTTTTCATTAATAGACTGATTTATAAGGAACCTGTCAAGTTTTAATATAAGCTTCACATTGTATGAAACAGGGCCCACAGTTTCTACCCTTTTTATATCTTCTTAGCTACTATCATTACTTTCTTCAACTTGATTCCTTTGTCAACACAATATTCTAAGTGTGACAAACGAGTTTTCTTCATACACTCAAAGGTAAATGAAGTAACAATAATATTAATTCGAGCAATAAGTCTATTTATTCGCAAATTAGGTTCACAAGCCGCTAATATTGTAAATGGGTCAAGGAGCAATCAGAGATCAGTAATGATATGTATAGAGGGTAATTCGATGACATTTTACGATGTCTTATTTAATTTTGATCAGTTATCGTAGTGCCAATTGTTAGCAATCAATGTTAAAAACCGGTTTCTATTTGTAAAGTCTTCGAACTGTAGATTTATTGAAACGAGCTTTTCATTTATTTTTTATATTTCAAATATCGAACAGACCATTAATTTAATATAAAAAAGACAGTTCATTCTTTTGGTATATTGTCAATTATAAGATATTAAAGATGCACACCCGGTCCCATTCGCAAGAACCATTTGTAATTGCTACGAGTCGTAGATTTATCTGTACAATGCCTTTCCCTATTACATTTCAAGTATCCGACCGTACATTTAAATTACTAAAATCTCAATAATGAAGAATGTTTGGTATAAACAAAGATCACCCAATTAAGATGTTCGTAAGTACTCCAAAGACAATAAAGGCTTGTTATTTTTAAACAAATATTTATTAATCTTTACGATTATGTGAGGGGGAAAAAACAATATATGAATTTCCTATGTAAAATGACAATTGTGCGTCAATCAGAGAAAAACATCGCTGATTAACTTGTTTGTTTAGTTAATTCTTCGAATACCCAAACATTGTATGTGTATCCGAAGGGAAATCCTATGACTTGTTCTTAAATTGCGAATGGGCCAAACACAAAAAATACACTTTGGCCTTATAATATTTTCTTGTACGTGATTAATATTTAAATAACTATTTAACGGTGTGTGTGAGGCAGTCTTCACCATTAACACCAGCTTCTCAAGTCATGAATTCCACCTTTCGAAAGCTTTAGACTCTAAGACTTCGTAAAACTGACTGACTGCTTCACAAATTCATATTTTAATCATTTAAACAATTATAATTTATAAATAAATAATATATGGAATGAATAAATTACATTTTAATTATTTTTTCTGATACAATCTATCGATACTACTATATTAAGGTCGGATATTGGAGCAGGGTGAGGGTAATTAATTTGCCTAGAAGCCTGTAATATGCTAGGAAAAGTATATTGTAAAATGTTTTTGCATATTTAGTATCGCTGGGGATTTATACATAGTGGTAATCTGACGCATATCTCCAATCCTAGATTCGATTCCGATAAGAATTTTTCGAGTTAGTCGGTACAGAGCGGTCATTAGCAAATGTATGTTTGCGAGGTCTCGGTACTTTTTGATTACCACGTTTGTTTACGATATAAAACTATCTCTTTCGGGTCTTAAATGATACTTGTTTTCGCAAATGGTATTATATTTCTTAAGTTCTTAAACGTTTAGTAATTGTGTTAATTATCAACTAATATCTGATATAGAAAAATCTAAAAAATAAATGAAATGCACAGTCTAAATGAATTTCCGATTAAATTGTAAAAATTTCCTTGTATATTCCTATAAAGTATGCTCTCAAAATTATCTTTAATACAAGTAACCCTTGGCCTCAACAAGCGAAATCAGTATTACAACAATTTAGATGTGCTAATTGTATATATTTGATAAACATTTATTTAGATAAAATGAGCCGTACCTATTTCTTAATTTTGATTCATCCACTGAATTACCATTAAAAACCTGGATATCCATAGTTGCTTTTAAACACACTTTTAAATCGATTTTACTTTTCTTTAGTTTTTATAATTACATTTAGTTGTCTATTTCTTTTTATCTCTTCGTGTTGCCTATAAGTGCTTGTCACATTCAATATTGGATTTTATTTTTCTTGTACCAATGTATGAGTGTGCCGAGCGTTGGCAAGCTTTTATAAATAAAATTTGTATTATATATGTTTAAAGTATTGTCGTAACGCCCCAATAAATATAATCCGTTCCCAATACAATGATTTACTTTTTCACATTGAAGTTTTTAATAAAACTCAGCAAACAGGGCTGATGTTCAAAATAAAATAATATGTTACACACATTCTCTCTCATACGCACACACTACGTGCCACCAATATTTATAATTATATTTTATTAGGACAGTTCGTTCATAGCTTATTTTCTTATTTATATATTTGATATTTGCTGTTGGCTACGTAAATATATAATATAATAAATTTACAAAAATATCGATGCATTTTTACAGTCGAAAATGCTGTAATTTTTTATGGTTACGTGTTGAGCTTTGCGTGATGACGCAGCAAAAAGAGTTATTGCATCTTTACTTTTATTTACTTGAAAGCGCTAATAATTTTCTTTTTAAATTGTCGAGAAAGCCGAGGCCTATACTGATAAAAGATAGGTAAAATTGTCTTGCGTGTATTTTCTGATACAACATAGTTTAATGTTAAACAGAACTATGTATAACTAGCGTTAAGATAAAAAATAGGTTTTATGATGCGTTTTAGTAACCAATATATATCATTGGCGGTACTTTAAATAAAATCCGAGAAACGAAAGTTAAACATTATGTATAACAAAACGTTGTTTTGTCTAAAAGGGTTGCTTTACACTAACACGTGTTTTTTAATAACGTAAAAAAAAAGAAGTACATACATATATATTATTTACTTTATGTTTTTCTCACTTGTTTGACATATTGTTGCACATTTTAATGCTATGTAAATGTTGTGTAATAATTTGTCACCTTTTTTAATATATAAGCTTTAGAATAAAGTGAAAAAGTTAATACATATATCCGGTATATATGATCACTAAAATAACTACGACTTTGTAATAAAGTTTAAACTTACAACAGTTTGATATCATTTCCCTTCGAGTAGAATTAAAATTGGTACCAGTATTTTATAATGTTCTATTTGTAGACGACCGGTTAAACATCCATATCTAGTTCCACCCTTATCAGCGAATGATAGACGTAAATATATTTGAATCATAATTCGACTAAAACCGCGTGTTGATTTATTTAGAAAATGAGATATGAATCTTTTATCGAATACCTACTTGCATGTTTTAAAGGGAAACAAAGAAAATTGTTAAGATGCGACATCTAAAAATACATTTCTCGTCCAAATATAGCCTCAGTCGCAAATATTCTCATAAGTACTTGTCAGATGTATACAATTTTAATATGAAGGTAAAATACAATTGTAAAATTAACCTACCTACATTTTAGTATAACGAACGTTTAGTTGCTGTAATTTTAAACAAATCACTGTTCTGGTATTACAGATAATATTTATCATGCAGGTGGCACTTAATATTTAAAAACAGACGATTACTATGAGTGCATAATTATTACTAATTATTAATTTATATTATTATTTATTATTATAAAATATAGTACACCAGCATTTTTCCAAAAACTTACCTTCATTTTTATTAATCACAACACTTTCGGAAGTTAAACACTATTTGTAATTAGATTTTTAAAATTGGACGCAGCATGTGACATGCGTGTGTTTTGTCCACTGTCAGTGGGCAGAATAAACAGGGTACCGGTCGAAGGATTGATAGTGAATGAAATGAAGTTACGGTGCAATAATGGTCACAGATGATGAAAATAGTGGATTAAGTACCTAGATAAGGGTATGACTTGTCGGCGTTTTGGAAGGTCTTATAAAGGGTCGTTGTAATCGCAAATCGCACTTCGTTGTACTTTAATCGGCAATGATTTATTGATTATTTATTTTGTTAAAATATTGAAAGCCGTATTTTGATTTTTAATATTAAAAATTTGTGCTCACTTAGATAAAAAACATATTAGCGGAGTTACAATCAATTGTTTAAATCCATATTAATACAAGAACATTTTTTAATAAAGGAATATCATCTGCTCTGCTTATTTGCCAGCGAAGGCAATAATAATTTAATAAATAATAAATTAAGACAATAACAAGTAACGATTGAATTCCCTAATATTGTAATTTATTAAATACTTTTACGAAAATTATTTCTGGATTCATATAACAAAGGGGCGTATGTATAAATTATTTGATTTCTTTGTCTTCATTTCCTTCATTATTGAATTGACCGCCATCTATGAACTCACTAACGCCAATAAATAATTTTCAGTTGTTTTACTTAGTTACGTTAAATGTGGCTAGATGGCGCTGCAGTACGTACTCAATTGATGAGTTTTGACTCGCGTGTATTACATCTTTGTGTGCTCATATGGATTTTTTATGGAAGCCTTTATTTAATTAAATACAAATATCAGCCACTAGATATTACTATTTAAAGACTTTTCACTAAAAATTAGTCGTTTTTTTTTCCATGGAAAAGATTTATTGCAAAGTTTAGGGTGAGATTCAGAAACAAGACTAATGAACAGAACTAACAGAATTATGATTCCATGTCTAAGTCCCTATACATTTTTGACGTTCGGGAAATCAGACTTAGGGCTAGGTCTTAGTTTAATAATTTCCTAAAAGGCCTTCGATGTACTCGCGAGCCCTCTGGCATTGACAATGTATCACTTAACATCAGGTGAGCCTCGGGCCTCCTGCCCGTTTTCGATGTGTTCTATAAAAAAGTCTCCGAATTTTAGGTCGAATTATGCACCAACGCCTTGATACCTACTATTTTATTCTACATACCCAAAGTATGATTGTTTAATTACATGGTTATACTAACTGCTGTCTGTTTACATAGCCCTTATTGTATGGATTTCTTTAGAATATTTTACCTTAAAGTCACTTGTTATTGAAACAATCATTATATAATAATTATTTAATCATCATGAATATTAAAGACTTTATTTTCAAAACCAAATTTTGACGCATTAATTTGTGTATTCCTTAAAAACAATTATATCAAATAAACCAATTATTCATACAGGTTCATTCATAGTTAAGGAGGTCATAGGTCATAATTAAAATAAGATACAATGTTTTTTAACGAATAAAAGCAATTTGTCAAGAAACAACAATTGTTGGTCATGGCCTTTGACATGGCTAAGTCTCAACTCTGAGTCTTACCTTTTTCCTTCCATATGATCATGTATTAATTGTGGTTTGAACTCCCTCATGCTTCGACTTTGAGTTGAAAGTCCTAGCCTCTAGACTTAAACTGCTTCTGTTATTATTATTGAACACGTAAAAAAGGAATAAATTAATAAACAAAAAAGCGTTAAAACGTTATTTTTATTATGAAATTATAAATCATTGTTTAATTAGAGCTACATTAAATCACCATCGTTCTATTGGCAATTAATTACATAATAAGATTTTTAGTCTATGGTGATTAAGGAAAAACTTATTATTATATAATAAATACTTAATAATATTGAGGTTTTATTGATTAATATAAACTTATTATTATGTACATCCTAATTCATTGTTCAAATACATGGCACGTAGAAAAAAATGTAAACATTGATAATGTATAAAATGTTTTATAACATTTTTCCTTATTCTCAATTATATCAGTTTTGTGTATTATTTATCGTATCGACTAGGTATCTTTGAAACTCCTATTTATAAGTACAATTATTATTGTAAAAGTAAATTTATGTATATAATTAATAATCCATCCGAAATGCATCCGTTTCTTTGATAATTTTTATATCAACACGTAGGTGATTTGAGCCTTCCTGACACATGTCGTGGATTTTGACAAATTCCTGTTTCCTCACGATGTTTTCAATCACAGCACGAGGTAGTGTTAGATACGCACATAGACAGAAGGACGACTAGTGACCGGGGTAAGATTTCAGGGATAGTCGCACGCTGAAGTCTAGGCCAAATCTGCTACTGTTATATAAAGATAATTGAAATCAGTTTGAAACACAATTGTAACCTTTGAACAGTTTCGTGTCCTTGGTGATATAAAACGATTGACAATTTTTTTTATCAACAGCATCTCTTTTTACAGACGCGACACGATCCGTAATCGCAATCAAACGAACGCTAATCTTTATTCAATTTCACCCGAATATCTCCTTGCAGAATAGCGCATTACAATTGGACAGAAAGAGAAGAACGTATGTTTACCAGTGTAGGCTTATTTGTATGAATAAATAAGCATGCTTGTGCATTAAAATACAACATTCAATTAAATGAAAATGATTTGATCTAACCAAATTGCTCGTTTGTAAATGCAATATTTGCAATATTTTAAGTTTAATTAATATTATTTATAGCTGCCATTGATTGAATATAAACAAATCTTATCTAAATACATTTACGAATATTAGTTGTAAGTTTTTAAGTGTACAGTTTATAACGTAACCGTGTTAAAACTGTCCGGCCTGGTAAGTGAATTCGTGGTCCGGCCACGTATAGTATCTTAACAGACACAAAGCCTTTCAAGCAAGATTTCTTCAAATATTGTAATGTTTTTTATCGTCTAAAGGCACGTCAATGGTGTGTTGTACAACTTCTTCGTCGTCTTCTGCGACCGCCAGGTATCGCTCAACTAAACCGGAAACACAATCCAGGCAGCCTCTTTTGTATAGAGCCTTTAATACGCGCTTACGTAGCACGACTAGTACGATGAATATTAAGAGGCCTTGGCTGAGGTTAAATATGTCCAAGAGTGTCCTGTAATAGAGAATTTTGTATCAGAATAATATTAGAATAATATCCGAGCCCGTACTCTGTAACTTCCAATAGCCATAACATACCCCAATAATGAGTATAAAAATACCATCTGATCCCAAACTTGCATCATCAGCACTATGGATATTAAAAGAACAACATCTTAATTAACATAACATAAAATAACATTTATTACTAACGAAACACACACACAGAAACACAAAATAATAATAATAACAAAAAAAAATAGAAACGAAAAAAAAATGAATAAAGTATATTTAAGTGTGTAATACGTGCTGTGGTAGTAACTGGCCCTGGCTCAGCATTATGCTGTGCTCCACAGGTCATTCTGCCAGAGACCACAACAGTTAGTTTTGAAATGGAAAATCTAACTATTTAATCGCCTTCCTAGAAGTTATAGATCACTGCCGTGTAATGCTTTTAGGAGGAAGGTGATTCAAATTTTTAAATGGGAGATGTTCGTGGGAGATTGATTTAGACCATAAGTTATGACAACAATTATAAATTACTTAACTGTTCTTATTATTATGTTTTTTTTATGTAATAGGAGGCAAACGGGCAGGAGGCTCACCTGATGTTAAGTGATACCGCCGCCCATGGACACTCACAATGCCAGAAGGCTCGCAAGTGCGTTGCCGGCCTTTCAAGAATTGGTACGCTCTTTTCTTGAAGTCGAATTGGTTCGGAAATACTTCTGTGGGCAGCTGGTTCCACATAGTGGTGGTGCGCGGCAAAAACTGCCTTAGAAAATGCTCTGTTGTGGAACGACGGACGTCGAGGTGATACGGATGGTATTTTGTATTTTGCCTTGACGTCCGATGATGAAACTCAGCTGCAGGTATTAGACCGAACAACTCCTCTGAACACTCTCCATGGTAAATGCGGTAGTAGATGCAGAGAGATCCCACATCTCTACGCAACGCCAAGGGATCAAGCCGCGCGGAAAGTGACTGGTCGTCGACGATTCGAACCGCTCTTCGTTGAATATGGTCAAGTGGAAGGAGCTGGTACTGGGGAGCTCCCGCCCAGAGGTGAGAGCAGACTCCATGTGGGGCCGAATTTGCGCTTTATATAGTTGCAAGCGGTTGCCCGGAGTGAAGTACTGTCTCGCCTTGCTGAGCACACCAAGCTTTTTGGAGGCTAATTTAGCCTTTCCTTCCAGATGACCGCGAAACTGAACGTTATTCGATATGTCAACGTCCAGTATTCCGATGCTAGCTGAGGCTTTAAGGAGAGTGTCTTCAAAGAGGGGAGTAGCGACAAAGGGAGTTTTTTTAGCGGAAAATGCGCATACTTGTGTCTTCTTGGGGTTAAATTGGACTAGATTTAGTCTACCCCAGTCCGAGACTCCACGTAGAAGAGTTTCGACTTCAGACACAAGTTTGTTCCGGTACTCATCGACAACAGCCCGAGAATTACCTGCCCGGCCAGTGTAAAAAGTATCCCCAGTGCTGTCGTCCGCATAGCAATGAATGTTGCTAAGCTGCAACATATCATTGATATGCAGAATAAACAGGGTCGGGGATAGGACACAGCCTTGTGGGACACCAGCATTCACAGGTTTCAGGTCGGAGCATGCTCCGTCGATGACGATGATAATTAATATGACTTTTCCCATGCCTATTTTTATAGGACTGATTGATTTTTTTTAATAATTATACAATCTGAATGTACCACTTTGCAAAACAATTTATTATATTTATTTCTGCATACAAAAACGTGGGGATCAGTTTTACTATCGCTATTGCATGGTAACCACTTTGGTATAGGGACCATGTACCTCCCTGATCAATGGGATTAAGTTCCAATATTGATGTTACAATATTTGTATCGCTAATAATAGCTCGGGGTCGCATGGCATAAAACCCTATTGGAAACTACGGAGTATGTACTTGGCGAGCGACTATAATCTAGTTTAAAAGTGTCTGTAAAATTGTTTTTGTAAAACTTAGTTTCAGATCGTTTACAAACAATGTGTTATTAAGAATTTAAATGCTATTGGAAACCGCGGAGAACTCGGCGAGCGATTTTAATCTAATTTAATAAAAATATCTGTAAAATTGTTTTTGTAAAACTAAATTTCAGATGTTAAAACAATTCGTTATTAAGAATGTGTTAAGAACTATAGTGCTTGGAGTCTAAATATTATTGCAAATTTTATTCGTTATAACGTTAAATTACTGAGAAATGACGTAATATTTGCATAAATTATACAGTCAAAATTCAAGTTTAGTTATGAGATTCAAATGAATAATTTTCACATATTTATAGCGAATTGAAGGCTGATTATGTTGAAATTATTTCACTAACCAAATTATATGTGCTTCGAAGAAAGTACTAATCATTTCAAATATCCAGGGCAGACCCATAATAATAAACATCTTTAATGTCATTCCGAACCTGAAAGAAAAGAAATCATATTATATATGATCATTATAATAGTAACAAATCTTCGCCTTAGCTTAGTGGTTAACGAGGCAACTAAGGCCCTGGTTTCGATAAATCAAATATTTCAGATTGGTATAAAAAGAAGGCACTTACACTTTCCATAAAAAAATACCAACGATCAGACAAAACAATGTGTCTTCTCCATTGCCCATTGAATGCTTACGGGCTTTCATGAATGATTCTACACAAAGTTCCATCAAAATAGTTATTACATTTTAGTCGTCATCAAACTCACATATTGTCAAAAGCAACTCTTATTTAATAATGCAGTAAATAACGCATTGCCTTGTCAAAGTAGTGCGAATTTGATTCCCGCTGAATCCATAATTTCGTTTTAATTTATATATACTTTGTCGGTATAAGTGGCCTATCGGTTTTAGAGAAAGCATTGTGCCTTTCTCGAACCTAATTCGCTGTTTTGCTGATGATTTTTCTTTTTTTTCTGCTTTAAGTACCAACATTTCTAGTAATTTTATTTTATTGTGTGCTTATCTTATCTTGTGTATGTTTTAATTGTATTTTTTATTTTTTAATTTCTATTTTTTTGTAAAACTTATGTTTACTTTAATTGTCATACATTTTAGATGGAAGATTTTGTGAAATAATCAGTAGATTTAGTACTATGTATGGTGTCGTAAACTTAATAACTAAATAAATAAAGACTTTATTTAGTTAATAGTAAATTATTTTGATAAATAATACATACTTATAACGCAGTTCCTTGACGTGTGTTGATAAGAACGTGTGTCTCCACAAGTAAACTGACAAGTAGAAAAATATACCTATATTTAGTACCATGAGAATTGATAGTACACTATACATGTAGTACCATTGTTGCCATTTATCTGGAATTATAAATAATAAAAAAAATATATTTTTGATTGTTAGCATACGGGTAGCGTATAGAGAATATTATTTACGGTTCACGTTTCTAAATAAGAACGTTTTTAAATAAAATTAAAATAAGAATTTGCAATTATGAATGAATTGATTGAACGACCAAAAGTAATAATATTAGCTCATTACCGTAAAACCAGCAAGTGTTGAGACCGATGCCTGGTTTTTGATGTTTTCCAGGATGGAAGTTGACAATGGCCATAGCTATTGTGATAAGCGCGGGTGTGCCAAACGCGTAAAGAGCGTACCAGGAAAAGGTGCGCCAGCCATAGTCGGGCACTGATGGACGTCTGCAATGACGTAACATCTGATAAATCTCTCGCTCGTGGAACATTTTTGCTTTTATGCTCGTGGAATGAAAGACAATTCCATAAAAAATAAAAAATATTTTTTTTTTGAAAATAGAATTATAATCTGCTTATAAAATTATGATTGATAGGAGATTCTTTGTAATACTTACTTGATTCGAAATAGAATCTGTATCGAGATAGAATTCATCCAGAAGAAACTTGATACCATAAAGTAATAGATCAGGAATCCTGGAACATTTGAAATCGCTGGTAAAAATGTTACAAAACATTTGTCACATTCATTCGTGAACACAATATATACGCATTTTACAATAACAATATTGGTACTCTTCGTATGCCGCCGTATTAGATAATTCGTGAATTTATATAACGTCACCATTTTGCATGCGTAGACAACGCGTCGTAAATAATACGGCCGCGGCGTCTAGAAAAATTTTGAAACTTAAGAGATATTAAAATGATTTTTTTTACAAAAGTTATTATTCGGTATTTATAATACCTTAAGCGTTATTCGATGGCTATGCTAGCTATGCTATTATGGCTAGCATTAATCCTGAACCGTGTAATGAGCTAAGGCAAATATCATTTAAGGTTACGTTTTGATTTTAATTTTTGAAATTGGTTTTTCCGTAAAGCCGCACTCAATTAAAAGTTTTCTGATTGTCTTATCAGTTATGTAAGTATGAAACGGTAAAATGTATTATGAATTTCCTATTTGCGCACACGCATAAAAATATTTACCGGTACACATTACTTATAATTGTTTGGTCCAGACTATTTACATATGTATTTTATTTTATTGAATATATTTTCACGAAGGTACGCATAACGCAACGTCTTAAATAAGATTGTAGTATGACCTAGTGAAAAAGCAGAGTTGATCTAGTGGTTTTTTGTTAATTTCATTTTTATTATTTCTAAGACATTTTAAATAATAATAAAATAAAATAATCTAAGTGTACAAAAAAAAAACAAAAGAACACTAAAGGGTTTAACCTTGAAAAAAGGCCAGACCAAGAGGTCGTTGGTTCGATCCCCGGCGTGGACAATGAACTTTCTACGCACACATAGATATGCATCAAACACTCGCTCGTACGGTGAAGGATAACATCGGGAAATCAGCTATTTTTCGAATCCTAAAGTCGACGATGTGTGTCAGAATGGCTGATCACCTACTTGTCCATGAAAAAAAAATGATCATAAAAACGGACGCGACCTGAAGCCAAGTATATAGGGTTGTAGCGTCACTGGAGTATTATTATCGTATTTATAAATTTAACAATTTAATTACCTCGAGCTGCGCATAAATTCATATCGGAATATTCAGTGAGTTTCATTATACCCAAAATAATTAGCCCCAGCGATAAGCTCACGCAGAAACAAATTATGCTTTTGCCTTGTAGATCTCTGAAAAAAAGTATATTAGCGAATCTGTTGCCGTTTTACCAAAAATATAACTGGTATTTAAATATTAGTTTAAAGTGCCAGTTATTTTTGCTAATTATTAGTTATTGTTAATTTATTAAGATAAAATTATATTATTTTTTGTTTATGCCTTTATAGTTGTGACTGCGTCGTATAATGTATTTTGTTCTTGGCCAAACCAAAATCGTTTTAGATGCTCACCGTAGGCTCACCTTGAAATCACCAAGAAACAGACGCTCTACCTCATGTCTACATAAAATACAGCATTGAATTGTTTTTGGATTCAGATAAAATTGTCCTTTGGACTGTCAACACAAACGGGTTCTTGACTGGTTTCATATTTGTTAATTTCTAGCGTATTTTCGTAGATCAAGTATAAGGTATCTATTTCTGAGGCCCGGGTCAACGTTACTATTACGTTGTACCAAGGTCGGTTTCCATGATATTTTTTTAATAGTATCAGTTCTCTGCGTGTAAAAAAATTTCGAGGCTATCTTTCCCTGTTCAGCTGCCTCTAAATAAGTATACAATTTATTTTACTAAAGTTGTCTTCAGCTCACGAATATAAACTCAAATAAAAAAAATCTTAACGGCCCTTTGGTAGGCTTGTTTTGACTACAAAGTAAGAAGTCCAATTAATAATAAATAATTGCAAATATAAGAGATATTAAGCGCTTCCTAAAAATATTCACAGGTTGTTACTCACATTTATTTTACTACATTAAACAGTGACGCGTAGAACTGTGCTAGCTGTGATTATTTTAATACATACTTGACTAACGGTATCTTTATTAGTAAAACAATATGCTTAAAAATACAAGAAAATATGACATTCAAAACAGACATTAAAGTATAGTTAAATATTAATTATTAGTACTCACCTTAGGATCGGTAATGCGCAGTAAATTATAGCGGTCAAGGCAAGAAAAATTGCCGAAACTATCATGCAGTAACTCAATACTAAGTTCGTCGTCGTATCTTCCTCTACTACACAGAATAATAACAATTTTAACGTGCTATTTGTAGTTTCATTTGCGGCACAAAATCTGAAATTTTTATTGAAATCACTTTACATACCTATGAATTTATTATTAGAGTTCTAGGCCTTGTAGAGGATCTTTTAAATTTAAATCGAATGAATATTTACATTCGTATTTACAAGAAGACTAAATCGATAATTATAATGATTATCATAATTAAATCTTGTTTGCCGTCGAAGAGTGAAAACTGAGAACAAGTTCACCTCACACAGGTGTATGATAATAGTCACGTGCTTGGTGACATAAAATTATATTATTTGTGAAAGGTGCACGTTGTATGGTATATAACGGTTAATACGTACGTTCCCGCGTCGTGTAAGAAAGATTGATCTTCAATCAATAAGGTAGCCGATTCATCATTGTTCACTGTAAAGTTGTAATCCGCTTCAAATAATCTTGCGGTTATGTTACAATTCAACCGTATAGCCTTTTTACTCTCATTGACTGGATTTACACAGAATGCTTCATTTTCGTCCAAAATACCATCTTCTTCCAAACAGCAGTAGGTGTTTAGAGGATCACTTAGAACTAAATTAAAACACGCGAGAACACACAGTATTCCAAACATTTTAACACGTTTCGGACCAAGGTGAATGAACACGACCGTCTTCAGCTCCGGCGCTTGATTCACTAAAATAAGTTCATATACGTGATCACGAAGTTGCGTTGCGTTGGTGGATTTTGGACTGTAGCACGTGGAAATAGCGGATGGTTTGGTAGAATTAAGTGGTTTCTATTATCGAGTGTAAACAAATGATTATAAAAGATTTGTATCGTGCTGTTTTATTAAGTTATTTTGACTTTATTTGGTCCGGTTTAGTGCAAAAGCCGGCTTTGATAATGGTATTAATGGATATACCTATGGTCATAGAGAAAGTAGACGTGTTTATACTATTTTTATATACTTCAAAGTCGTTCAGCACGTTATTATTTAGTAATTTCTTTGGAAGTGAAACATTCTTGTTCAGTTGCATGCTCTACGTGCGTTTACGCCGGTTTTTCTATTCCAGTACATCTGGTATATGTGATGTTGTATACACAAAATTAAAATAGATCAAGCAATCATATTGCTTTTTAAACTTTAACAAAATTTAAATTTAAGAACAGATTATTGGAAATAATTTTCATAAAAAATCCAAATCATCACAAATATATTTTTATATACCTTTTACATAGTTGTCATAACATATATACATATTTATAGATAACCAAATATAAAAGTAGTCGTTGTTATGAAAGGACCGTTAACATTCCAATACTACAATACAGAATTACGATAAAGATAACAGGTTTTATTTAAACAAGTTGCCTTTTTAATACTAATTAGTTTTTATCTATAATTAACATTGCCAATGTTAGTATATATTCATATAAAAATGCTAAAATATAAAAGATTTTTAATATTATATAGCGCTTGATAATTTAAAAACATATGTCAAACCAGATGGCTTGCGGTTAAGGTTATTTTCAAACTAATATATATTTGACGAAGTATTTGTATTACTACTTAAAATATTTGTTTCTATAGTTTCGCTTGGTATAAAATCATAATTTTCATACATACAATAAAAAGTAATCAACTTTTATATATTTATTAAAACTTAGATACGTTACAAATAAAAAGAAGTAACATACATAGTTAGGAAGAGGCGGCTTTATCGGTAACAAGCGATCTTTTCCAGGAAACCCTAGTAAGAGAAAAATAAATACGAAAGGTAAAAGTGCAAGAAGTGCTTAACAAATTTCACAAAAATAAAAAACTAAAACAATAAAAATACAACACAAAAAAAAGAAAAAGAAAATAACGATTGATCCGGGTAGCATATAGTTAAGAGGTGGTTCTGTAGAAGACTTTTAAAAGAGGTTAGAGAAGTAGCCAATCGTATGGAATTGAGGAGCGTCATCTACAACTTTATGGCGGAGATCCTAAACGACTTGCCTAAAAAGCAGGGGCTGCAGGATAGACTTTACAAAATGCATCTATCGGAGAAGCGTACCATTCATTTTAAGAGGCAGTTCTGGTATTGAAAAGAGCAGTGTTGGCCTAGTGGCTTCAGCGTGCGACTCTCATCCCTGAGGTTGTAGGTTCGATCCTCGACTGTGCACCAATGGACGTTCTTTCTATGTGCGCATTTAACATTCGCTCGTACGGAGAAGGAAAACATCCTGAGGAAACCTTAGACCCAAAAAGTCGAAGGCGTGCGTCAGGCACAGGAGGCTAAATGACACAACTAAAAGTCTATGACTGATCTTTAATATGATGAAACTCAAGTTTAAAACATGCAACATATGTTATGTTAAGGTACAAGGAATAAGATATTAAGATTCCGAATGAGGACGAGGTAGTGTACTAGGACCTGTTGTATTAAGAGCGGCCACCTGTTAGCGGAAATGACTGCGCATTATATAAGAAATATACTTAAGAAGCAGTGTTAGCCTAGTGGCTTCAGCGTGCGACTCTCATCCCTGAGGTCGACGACTGTGCACCAAAGGACTTTCTTTCTGTATGCGCATTTAACATTCGCTCGAACGGTGAAGGAAAACATAGTGAGGAAACCGACATGTCTTAGACCCAAAAAGTCGACGGCGTCTGTCAGGCACTGGAGGCTGATCACCTACTTGCCTATTAGATTTAAAAATGATCATGAAACAGTTACAGAAATCTGAGGCCCAGACCTAAAAAAGGTTGTACCGCCACTGATTTCTTTTTATGGTATTGAAAAGGTTGAGTAGGTATAGAAGATGAAAGTAATGGTATAATGAAACATACGAACATATAAGCCGCGAAATTAGTATCTACTTGTCAGATAAGTGTATCTCCCGCTTCTATTACATTTCTCTGTGTCGAAAGTTTATTTTGTCGAATTATCTCAATTAATACCCGCTATGTTACGTATATTATAAAGTAGTGTAATTCAATTCAAAAATCATTTAATCATATGGGTAACACATTTTACACTTATGACTTGTCAGCAAAGAAATACATAATATTAATGCTTCTAATTTTACATTTAGTGCCAGTTCTCAAATCAAGGGCGTAGAACGGAAGAGAAGAACTGGCAATAAACTCTCCGCCACTGTTTTTAATCGCCATTTTTTTTTTTTACACGTGTGTGAAGCTGGAACTCTATACTATGTAATTATTATTAGATATTTTTAACTTATCATAGTTTGGATTTTCCACTTGATAAGCCACGAATTTTTTACAGTTGTTGCAAATGTTAAAATTCTACGCGAGGTTCGAAATAAGTGACGAGACTGGAGATCCCATGACTGATAAGGACATGGCATTGCAGCATTACTCAAGGATAACATCGCTTCAGGTCAGTAATTTTGATCCCTTTTGAATCTTAAATAAGTAGTCTTCACTCAAAAACTTCATGAGTAGAAGATGTACAAGATTTTACCTTGCATCATTTTTTAGGATCAAGGACCGTTTCGTCCGGTGCCCAATGGGGAATAGAACATTCTGTATCATACATACATAATAATAAATCCTTTTTATTTCCTATAGTTTTACAAGTATATGATTTTAATTAGGGATGCATCGATATGCCTTTTTGCCGATACTATACCGATACTCTTATAGAAATATCGCTGATACCGATACCGATATCCACGCTTATTGAATTAAAATGAAATAAGGTAAAATATATCAAGTTTGGTTAAAGTTTTTAATTTTTATTATAAAATATAAACAGTCACAAACTTTGAATAACATTAAAGGTTTAGTTATTGAAATTAAGACTTAAGAGTAATAATAATATTATAATAAAATAAATAACTGTTAATAATTAAAATTAACATTGATATGATTTTTGTAATTCTGTATTTTATTTAATTTGGTATTGAAAAAATACTACGTGCGATACAAGTTAAAAGCCAACTAAAGTTTCTAGCGAAATGGAATACTCAGGGACAAAGCGGGTGAGATAGATAGATAGTCCGTGCCTCGTATTCAAAGTTTGTGACTGTTTATATTGTATTGCAACGCACTAGATCAAACAAGATGCCGTTTACGTTACTTTTTAAGCGCGAAATTTGAAAAGTATCGTATCGGCAATTAAAATATCACCGTTACCGATATATCGGCAAAGACAAAGTATTTACTCCAATAGTAGCTTCATTTGAAAGCGCATATAAATTTCAATTTTATCTTGAATTTTAAAACTAACCCTGAATATCTTATTACATTCATTACAGAAAGCAGCATTTTCAAAGTTCCCCGATTTGCGACTTTTTGCCCTTGCTAATGTGGCAAGTGTCGACACGAGAGAATCCTTACAAAAGCATTTTGGAAACTTGAGGTAACATACTTCAATAATATTTCAAGTGTAGTAGTAGTAAGTAGACTAAAAACTAAAAAAAGTATAATAAATATTTCAATTAAGCTACAGTATCAATTACCACACGAAGCGTTCTAATAATAATAGCAATTACAGATAAATAATGTCAAATCAATTACGTCCAAGTGTACGTTTCACTTTCTTATATCGATACTAAATTTATCGGTCAGATCCAATTTTGCAGTTTTTTATTCAAGTTAAAAACAATTATAGTATTTTTTTTTTCATCGCAAATATGTTTTATAATTATTATCTTAATTTCTAAGAAATACAATTTTAGACACAGAATTTTACTCATTCTAACGTAAACTTTTCACGCCGTTTACAAAAATTCCATATCAGTTAATTTATTATTTATGTAAAATGGGCTAAATGTTAACAATACATGCTAATTACACTAATATGTTATAAATTATGTTAATAATTAAGTTTCTTTACAAAGAAAGTGGTACATTCACATTGATTAAATACTTACCAACAAAAATTGTACGTTGATGTATGGAACTGGTTCATCTTTCAGTGATCGGGCATTACGCGCAATTGCAAATTATCTGAATCTCATACCACCCGAGGGCAGAGAGTCCGAGGCTGCTTGGCATCGTTTGGACAAACAATTCCTTCAGGAGTTATTGGTAAGTGCTTCTTAATATTTTGTCTGTAATAGGTGGTGTCAGACTAGGCGCATGGTCAAAAAACTAGCCTGCCCTTTGGGTGAATAAAAGTGTCTAATCGGATCGTAAAAACGTTTTATACAAATATTTTGGTTTTCTAAGAAAAGGATGTGTTTCAATTTTTTTAAAGTTTTGCGTTATTAGTTTTGTAATTTGTGTCTTGCATGAAATTCTGGCCGCGTAAGGAGTATTTAGGTCACCGCTCATCTTGGAAGCTGGTTTATCATGTGTTTTTATTTGGGTATCTTGAATATTTAAACAAAAGGTTATTGTGAGAATGTCGGGTCATATTTATATGCTAAATAAATGTAGTAGGTAATGTGGTTTTAGTTCGGTTAATGTATAATATATAAACATATTTTTTTTTGTCATTTTTGTTGATTAACTAAGTAGATATTATACACAGGCCTTTTTTGTCCCTTCTTTTTTGTGGATAATGCTACTTCAAAAGTTGTAAGTCCAAATTTTCACGTGGGAAAGGAATTTGTGGAAATATCGAAAGTTTGCCATAAAAACTGAAAAGAAACGATGTTTTCCAAATTTCCTTTACTGTGTGTTTATCTATAGCGGGCGTGACTTTATAACAATAAAAGACAAAATAAAATATTCGGTATTTTCTATAGATTTCCCGACATGAACGCCGTATATCACAGTTGGAAGAGCTGAACTCTATGCCCCTATACCCCACGGAGGAAATAATATGGGACGAAAATGTCGTCCCAACCGAAATCTACAGTGGCGAAAACTGTCTCGCACTGCCCAAACTGAATCTACAATTCCTCACTCTCCATGATTATTTATTAAGGAATTTTAACCTGTTCCGCTTGGAGAGTACATGTAAGTATTAATATTGTTCAATTACATATTATATACTATTTAAATTATACATCACGTGCCTCTCGGCTTTAAGACAAATACATTACATATAAACAACATTTGGCGTTGAGAGGGGTCTAAAAGGCAAAAAATGCCTTTAATAACATTATAGTCGCAGCCAACTAGCTTAATTAGCCGTTCAATTAACAGCCTAGCTGTTTAACTAGCGGCCTGAAAGATGTTCAGCCAGTTGATCCAACGCTAGGCAAATGATTTGGATCAATGACGTTTCATTACTTGCCTAGCCTGTTGACTGTTTTTTTTTTTTTTCCACTTTCTGCCACTCTCAAGCTGGAAACGAAACTTTCAATATGGCGTTCTTTAAACTTCCAAAGTTTAATGAAAAATAACAAGTACAATGGAACAGTGTAGTGACAATAATAATGTGAATTTGACTCAAGCAATTTAACTTTAAAAGAAATATTTTTTATAATGACTCTATCGTACGAAGTCAGTTTATTAAATGTTGTAACAAACGCTACGGCTGAATATTTTTCAGGCCGCTAGTTAAACGGCGCCGTTTAGTTAAAAGGCTAGGCTGTTAATTGAACGGTTAATTAAGCTAGTTGGCTGCGACATATATAACATATAGTGTATAACACCACCGCTATATGGAACCAGCTACCCGCCGAGGTATTTCCGAAAGAAAAGAGCATACCAATTCATACACGGTCGGCAACGCACTCGCGAGCTTCTGGCATTGAGACTAACCATGGATAGCGATATCTACTTAAAATCAGGGTAGCCTCCTGCCGGTTTGCCCCCGGTTCTAAAAACGAATTATAATGCCAGAATTACTATAGACAAGATGGTGGCTATCAGTTTTTTGTAAAATTTCGATTACTTTTAATTGTTTTATTGACGTTATTTAAAATGTAACGTATGCTTGGATTCTTGCCTAAAAGTAACGAAATGTTCTCTTTGTCATACGTGTAAGCATTTCAAAGGACCGAGCACTCAAGGCAACCGCAATAAAAGCATTATTTTGGTATAAAATCTAATACTAGTAGTAGGTCGCGCATTTGATATGCGTCCAAGCATATTTGTTTCTTTGTGCGCAACCTGCTTGTACGGATATGTATGCCTATGTAAGAACAATAGTAAAGAAAAGTGGATATATACTGAATAGATAATGGATGAATAATATAATAATACGTATTTAAAAGTAACTTGACAATAATGTCAGTTCAAACATGTGGTGTCGTTAAAACAATTGTTCAATAAAATACGCTCAAATTGTTTGTTAATTGTTACATAGTAATTCAACGGTTGAATGTAAATAAATTGGATTGAAACAAAGAGTTGTACCTCTAATAATTTCAAGAAGAATAAGTAGATTTGCATGCAAATAAAAACTAAGGATATTTTTGTGATGATAACTACAGATTATTTTTATTTGATATCCGAAAGTAGCATTGGTATGTAGGACTCGACCCACACCAGAATCTCTGATATTTAGAGACTGGGTGAGCAATACCCACTAACCCGCGTCGGTCTAAACCGCGGTCATGCAATTTACGCCTAGTAAAACATAGATTTTTTAAATATTCATTATTTTAATAATTTAAGAATAATAATGATTGGGATTGGGAAAAACTGAATTATTTTAATATAATTAATTCAACTCAAATGTATTATGCTAAAAACTAATTTACATATTGTATTTCTTAAGTATGTATAAAATAAATCAGTGGCGCTACAACCTCTTTAGGTTTAGGCTTCAGATTTCTGAAACTGTTTCATGATCATTTTTAAATCTAATAGGCAAGTACGTGATCAGCCTAAGGGCTTGACACACGCCGTCGACTTTTTGGGTCTAGGACATGTCACCGTTCGAGTGAATGTTAAATGCACATATAGAAAGAAAGTCCATTGGTCCAAAGGCAAGCACAGCCGGGGATCGAACCTATGACCTCAGGGATGAGAGTCGCACGCTGAAGCCACTAGGCCAACACTGATTCTTAAGTATATTTTCTTATAAAGTGCGCAGTCATTTCCGCTAACAGGTGGCCGCTGTCAATACAACGGGTCCCAGTTCAGTACTTCGCCCTCATTCTGAACCTTAATAGCTTATTTTTTGCACCTTAACATAACATATGTTGTATGTTTTAAACTTAAGTTTCATCATATTAAAGCTCAGTCATAGATTTTTAGTTGTGTCATTGTATGAATATTTAATTGTATGAATGGGCTTATTCATTAATCCTACGATAATAGTACTACATTACGCATTTAAAGTATCAAAGCGTAGCGCTTTGAAACATCGCAAATTGATATGTCTGTATTTAAATATGTAGTTTATATTCTCAGAACGATTACAAATAATGATATAATCCCTTTAGGTAAATATTCTACTTCCTCAATACATAAAAGCATATATATATATACAGTGATAGGAATGTTTTAAAGCTTTTTTATTCGGTATAACGCATTTACAAAACTCGATTTCGAGTGATTTTTGCAGTCGTCATCTTGCGTCTTTTGTTTTTATGTTCGTTAAAGGTTTATGTAAATGCATTGGTTGCCTGGAAGAGATCGCTCGAAAGCGATAAGGCCACCAGTGACCAGTTGCCCTCATTTCATTTAAATATGTATACTGTGTCATATTTGTGTTGCATACAGTTGCGAAGCGTTAATAAATAAATAAATGTGTAATATATTTATTTATATATTTAGTTAGTTACTAAATAAATAACTAAACTTACGTTTCTTTTCAAACAAACACAAAGAATGCCAAAAATATATCAATAATTGTGTGCCTGTCCGTCTAGCCACAAAAAGCTGCTATATTGTAAACTAATTCGTCGAAAATAAAGGGAAATTTCTTACTAGTTATTTATACATTTAATTTTGTTTATAAAATGTGCGAGATGTGCTTGTGGCTCGTATACGGTCATTGAACTCGGGCATCAGCTGGCGCTACTACCTTATAAGGGTCTTGATCTCACATTGCATCATATTCATCCGACTTTAAAGAAGAAAACTGTAGAAGGTTTACAGTACGACACTGTTTTTTTTAATGACATGACCTGCCTTCTGTGATGCATGGCATTGATTTCTAGGTTTAAGATAACCCCGTGATGTTTGCCTTAATGTAGAATCTATTAGCAGTGATTTGAACGCAAGACCTCAGGGTTGAGTCGCTTTAGCCACAAGTGCAACACTAGGCTTAATTTATCTATACTAATAATGGTACCCCTTAATTTGTCACAATTGACTCCAAATTTATGTTTTCACTATTAATAATCATGACGGTCAAATTCTAAAACTCATTCATTAAACGTTATGTTTCCTTATATTTACGTTCTATACGTCATAAGAAAACCTCCGGTCCGGTCAAAATACAGTATTTCAGACTAATTATATTGCTGTTTAGTATTAACTATGACGCATGCACGCACCATGCATGCATGAAATTCTAAGCTCGGGAGATGTACGTTAAAAAAATATCTTAGATTAAAAGGTAATTTTTACCCTTTTAGCCTTTGTGTAATTTTATTAAGTTATTTTAAATGTTTGTTTCAGATGAGATTCGGCAGGATATAGAGGATGCGGTCTATCGTTTGGCGCCGTGGTAATTATATGTTTTAATTGATTATTTGTATTAACCGCCATCAGATGTCATATTAATAGGGCCCTTCTCTTCAGTAAGATGAAACAGAGAGATATAACTGTCTCTTGCCACATTAGTTATATATTCAAGTACAATACACGTTGATTTACCTGGTATGAAATTTATTTAAATTATTATTATAAGAGATTTATTTTTACAAAAATATTCTTACACCGGATTCTGGATCTTTGACCTCATTCGTTAGTTGGGGAATCTATCCAGCAATTTAACTGAAATTAGAATGAAAAAAATACTCACAAATAATTGTTCCATTACGCTATAGTGGGTATTGCCCGCTTGTTAAAAATACACGAAGTCGTCTAGTATATATATTTAGACTCGTTGCTAGGTTAATAATATATGTTACAAATTTTATATTAGTCGTAAATTTTCTAAACAAAGAATTACTAATCGCTATTGTGATTTACATAATGTACCTCATAAACATTATGTGATTGGATATAAGATGACGTCAATTCGATACATGAGTTTTCGGTCACGTGGTCACTTCCCTAGTTTATAGATAACGGACTGGGCGTTTTGACATATTGCATAGCGTCCGGCAAATCAGTTCCCCACTTTCAGTAGGTGTATAGGCCTATTTAAGGTTATTCATACTGAAAGTACACGCGCGAACTCCATCTCGCAAAATTTGAACAAATTAACGTGCCGAGAAGAAGTTCTACTCTTCTGAATCTTACTGTTTCGTTAAAATCATTAGCCTCTCACAGATAACGTCCCGCCATGCTATGCTAACTGTACCGCTTTTTAATTCAATAGTTAAATAAACGAATCTCTAAGTAGAAGGTACTACGTCTGCCTCGATTTATCGTTATTTTCTAAATAATGTTTGATTCCAAAGTACGCTAAGAAAGACTGAAAAACGTACAGTGTTGGTCTGTATTTGGCCTTCATTTGAATGTATGGTTCTTCTTTTTCTATGCAGGCGTGCAGAAGATGACAGCGTATACTTCGGCGGTTGGGCGAGGATGGCCCATCCAATACAGAGCTTTGCTGTGGTTGAAGTGGCCAAGCCAAATATTGGCGAGAAAGCACCTTCCAGGGTCCGGGCAGATCTCACTGTCACTCTTAGTGTTAGACGAGAAATCAAGCAAGAGTGGGAAAATTTAAGGAAACACGATGTCTGCTTCCTTGTTACTGTTAGACCTACTCAGAGTATAGGTAAGAAAAGTTAACCAATATCACTTTAAAGTTCTTGTTGTGCCGCAATGATTGTGATTGGTCAATCGGGTGTAGTAATAACGTATCATTTTGATAAGTTTTTTATTTGTTTAATTGGAACTCTACAAATATATGGGTTAGCCCTAATCGGATGCGTGTGAAATCTCTCAGTAATTAATGTGTCATGATGTGACTATATTGTGATGAAATACTACGCTTAATTAAACGCACATGGCGTGATTCACAAGTGAATTAATCGAAACCTATTTAAAAGTGGTTCCTAACGATTTGTCTTATCTCCTCATGTGTCTTATAGCCTGGTACTTTGGTCGACGTCACAATATATGAGGCAAAATATTGCAATTTGTTTTGCACTTAGAGAGCGAAACTTGTAATTCAGTCTGAAGTTTTATTTCCTTCAATATAGCTTGGTATTGCGCCGAGTTTTTTTCGCTCGTTAAATTTGTTGGTAAAACCCATCACGCAATACCCGAAAGATCTGTCAGTTTTAATTTACCACTCGTTAGATCAATAATAAACGTCTGGTATAAAATTAGACCTCAGAAATCTTAATGAAGCTAATTTAATTACGAACTTTGCATAACGATGTAAAACCAATGGGGTTTTAATGTTTTTGCAACATAAACATTTTTTTTCTAAGTAATATTAAGTTATATTTAATTTTGGTAATATATGATATTCGGTATTGCGCTTCTCCTTAGAACGATTTTTGCCGGTATCCTTACAAGGCCTTTCTTTCCAGTATGAGCAAGTGTTAATAAGTTAGAAAGAAAAATCCAAATCCAAATCGGCGTTCAATCGCTTAATGTCCGATTGAAAACTGCGTCCACATTGGTTTTTGTTTATTATAAATGTCACTAGAATGCCATGCTTATAGAATCTAATACTCTGTGTCATTACTTTAGAAGTTACGTTTATGGTAAATATAATATCATTATCTGCGTAGATTACAATTATTGTTAGCCTTAGAATCATTAGTTTTACAATTTTTATTTAAAAATAAATAAAAATTGTTTTGATCTTATTGTATTTTGTGTTTATATCAAGCATTTTTAATTTATAGCTGCGAAATTAGTTTGAGACAAGCTTGCACCAATTTTGGCCTATTTTACCAATTTTTTGTAAAGAAAGATTTCTAAACCATTTTGTCATTGTTTAATGCATTAAAAATCAAATCCTCATATTTGCAACCTTTTTCTCATTTTGCAATAAAGATTTTCTATTCATTTTGGTCTAGTCTAATACATATACCATTAATGTAGGAACGAAATATGACTACAAAAAGAGTATGGTGGAGCAAGCGGGAATCGTGTACGTCCGCGGCTGTGAAGTTGAAGGTATGCTGGATGCATCAGGACGGGTCATCGAGGAAGGTCCGGAGCCGAGGCCGGAATTAGAAGGGGATTCCAGAACATTCCGTTTATTACTGGATCCTAACCAGTACAGGGTTGATCTTGACCGCGCGAGCAAGGGCCATGAGGTAGGTATCATAAAACATAGTTTTTTTTAATTATAGAACACGGGGCAAGTGAGCTCATCTGTTGTTAAGTGTTACCGCCGCTCACGGAGACTAATGCGCGGCCGGCCTTTTAAATTTGGTACGCTCTTTTCTTGAGGGACCCTTAGTCGTATTGGTTCGGTAACACGTAGAAGTGGTGCACGGCAAAAAGTTCCCTTAACAACGCTCAGTTGTGGAAGGACGTCGAAGTGCTATAGGTGGAATTTCTTTGCATTTACTGCCTTTGTCCTATTACTAATTTTTTTTTTTACTTTTAAGTCCTCGGCTTGTAATCAAGTAAGTAGGAAACCTGTGGTGACGCAACCCTTAGCCATTTTACTCTAAGCAAACTGCAATCTAGTTTCCTAAAAAAAAATACAAAAGATACAGTTATCTTAAAGCTAACATGTTTTTCTCTGTATTTGTTTAAATTTAGCCTATAAAGATATTGTCTATATAGGCTTGTACTAGGAATTAAATTATAAAAAAATCTTACACTATGGATTTAACAGAAAACTCAGCTATAGCTGTAGTTGAAATTTTTCTCCGATCATTCGAACAATGCTCTTTTACTCTTTAATCTGTAATAACGAGAAAAATGGTATAATTACTAAATGGGTAATCCCAAAGTTGCTTAAGAATCAGTTCTAATTCTGAAATTTCCTAAGTTAAAAGTTCATATTTTTTAAACTGTTTCCTCTTATTCCAACCTTCTGTAATCACTTTCTATTTTTATTTTTGGCAATGGCCTTAGAGTTTTTCTTCGAATCGATATAACTGGTAAATATCTGCTTTGGTACGTTGTTTTGGTCACGTATGCGTATAATATGTTAATATATACTTAGTACTTAGTAGCTTATAATTTTATGTAATTTATTATGTATTCTATTGATATAGCATAATAATTTTAATTCCTTCGTCTTTCATCTAAAATCTATCTGTCTGTTATATACAAAAAATAAATGACAAAATTCTGAAATACAAATTTAGCACCTCCTCCACGAGTTATTAGTAGTAGTATATTAGTTAGATAGCTAATCCACTGTCATTCAAATGCTAGAAGTCGTTTATAGATTTTTATATTCAACATACGTGCGCAAACCATTTTGTCTATATTTAAGAACGGCGCGAAGAATGAAACTCGTCAAAAGCGCTAAATCTCGACTCAGAATCTCACCCGTGGTATCGGCCTGTATCTACAGTTTCTATAGTAACGTACTAAAATCTAAATATGTACTTATTTCGACTTATGAGTCATACTTCATTCACTGTTCTCAATAGCTTAAGATGGTCACGACTTACCTTATCTTGTTTGCTGTTTGAATTTGAACTTTAATACGAGGTAATATGGTCGAAGTTGTTTAGTTTAAAAAAAATGTAAAGTCATTATTACGAAATTTATGGTGATTGGTTTCATGAGTTTTCTGAGAAACTAGAGTAAAAGTTAAACCTCTGTACCAAGATAACTTGTAACCGCGATTCGCGTCCAACTTTGCTATAATGTAATTAATTTCAAAATAAGAATTTGAAATTATTGAAGAACACACAGAGACACATTTATTCGAATCAAGAACCTCCTCTTTATGTAGTGGGAGTGGAACTTGTTGCAAGCCTGTTTTAAGAATACTTAAATACTATCTATTATAAATACTCGTATATATTGTCTATATAACCAATTTTAATATAAAACATTAGTTAAATGTAAAAATAGAAGGCCTAAAAATCTATTATTTATCGACTATAATATGGACTTATTTTTGCACTACACTTTTACGGTTCCTGGGTCATCGTGGTGCTTTAAATAATAGAGGATTTTATTGTTACGCTATATAAACCATTCGCGTGCGACAATAGAATAAAAGCGAAATAAAAGATATGTCAATTGCTATGTAACGAATGAATGCAATGTAACAGTTGAAGAGAGTGCCTACGTCTTGCTATACTCGGGGCGTAACTTCGATGATTTAGGAAATCGTCACGCTTATAAAACTAAGAAAGCCTGAGTGAACAAAATGTACAGCCTTGGCTCGTACGTGCCAACAACAGTATTCTGTTTAGGGTTGAGACTTAATCTGTGATTGATTTTGATCTCATATATCAAAATTCACAATATATTTTGAATATCCTTAGTTATTAATGTATAAGGAGTACATGGAGGTTCGCATCTGCCTGGTCCGAACTGAATTAACAAATTAATACAAGGATAACTCTGAAGCTGTTAGTTTACGTATTGAAGAACTTCAGGTCGCACCTGGAAGTTTTCTGTAAAAAAAACAAGCTAAATTTGGAAACATACCTAGAAAAAGTAAAGCGAAAGCCACGCTAAACCGTGCTTGCCTGTAAATACCGGATAGATTTCCGTGTAAACCGCAGCATTATCTATACTTCGATTTGTATGTAAGTATGTTTGTAACGAATTGGCTCAAGAAGTATTTGACAGATTTGAAAAATTCTTACAACATTTGAATGCTACACACTGAATAATATATATTTTAATCAAAGAATAAAATATGGATATATATTCTAAACCTCGGTGAAATATTTTTAAAAATTACTCGTCGAAGTCATTTATTTTGTTATCATTTTATTTTTATCAAGTCCCGTACACAAAGGAAGCGATACACTATTGCTAAATACATTATTATTTAGGTATGTCCGCATTTACTTTTACGCCATTCCCGGTTCAACAATAATTCTTTCCAATTTGATCTTACCTTAACAATTATCAATAAATGACGATCATCTTAAAAATAAGAAAAAATAAACTGTCAATGCCCAGCTTCTAAAAACACCACACTAATTTCAGGATGTATACGAGACATTTAACATTGTGATGCGAAGAAAACCAAAAGAAAACAACTTCAAGGCAGTGCTGGAGACCATTCGTGAGCTCATGAACACGGAGTGTGTAGTACCAGATTGGCTTCATGATATCGTCTTGGGATATGGTGACCCTGGACAGGCCCACTATACCAGGTTAGTTATGTGGTAATTCTGAAAAACTTTTAGCAGTATCAAAATAATATTTATTCGTGCATATAACACACTTCCCGACATTGAAAAGTATATAAAAAGTAGTCTTAAATTCAATTTACAGGCGTGACGAACGGGCGAAAATAACTGGGAAACTCCACGAACTATTTTCGAACACAGTGTCCGAAGTAAACAAAAAGTTATGATTTGAGAAATTTTTAAAAACACTCAATACACTCAATAAACAAGTATAAATAGCATGTCTAATGCAAGGGCTCATCAGTACCAATCTAGTTGATATTATGAAAAAGATACTTGATGTAAATTTTTTCAAATTTTAATAAGAATTAGTAAAAAAAGTCAATTTGCTTATAAAAACGCAAAATAAATTATAACTGTGCAGGGGTTTAGTTCAAGGTCCTCCCACGGTAGAACAATTTTTTGCAGCTGATGACCTCATCTATCCCCTAGTTGCGTTTGATCCACGACTTTTTACCCACCCTGTGATATATGTATGTACAACTATATGTAAACGAACGTCGTAGATTTTTTTAGAAAGGTTCGTCCAATATTTTTATCCTTTTTTCTGTACAATACGTTAAGTTAGGTAAACTCGGATCTCACCCCACGGCGCACTATGGAAAGTTTATCGAATATTATAAGAGTGGAACCTTATTAAAATGTAGTAATTTTGCATGATTTTTATTTGGAATATATTTTTATTAATTCTGCAAAGTAAGTATGTCAAAGAATGTATATTTCAGATCTCTGTTCAGTCTGTCTGTGTGTGATCGCTCCAATCTTTTAAAAATATTTTTTTCAATAATTTGTAGGAATAGTTATAAAGTGTAAAATACATTTTTAGAAAGCTCAAAGTATGCAGATTTTAACACAAAAATAAAATAGTAGATTTTATATTTATATTAAAAAAATTAACAGTAAGTGAGGGGAAAAAGGAAAGTTTTTTAACTTCGTCGAGACTTTTGACAGTTGCCGATGTCTCCCGGTGCTTTATTTTTTATTGTAGCGTCATCATCATTTATTAAAATCAGCCGCGGATACGTTTGGTTTCGGAAACTATCGCGAAAAGTATGATACAAATCAGGAAACAGAAAACCTCTATCTATTGTGGTTTCTAAAGTTAAACTATTTTATTTATTTATTTGCGGTTATTTATTGATAGCAGGGCGTTTTATCTTAATTTTGCACATTAATATACATATTTTTTCAAGTCTTTAGTATAAATTTTACATATAAAATATTAGTAATTATACCTTTTAATTACTTTAATGTCGATAGGAAAATAAAATAAGAGCCATTTCTTTAAACTGTTGTTTTTATCATTTATTTATACATACTCGTACATACTCCAATAAAAGTAAAGCATCTTTATTTGAATCCCTATTAAATAGGGATAGCGTAGGGATGCGTGTGCAAAAATTCAATCGTCTATCTTGACAAATGAAAAAATTATCGATTTTTGGTACGAAACAGATCTCAATTTTCCATAGTGCGGCGGCCCACACCGAGTCTCGCACGAGACGTCCTTGACATAGGCGCGGGAAAAGCCCATTCCGGCCGAGCTACGCTCGCCAAAACAGCCTGAGATAATCTGACAAGGCCCCTCAGGCCAACAGCGAGATTTCCATTCATGAAAAAAAAAAGTAACCTCAAAAACTGGGCAACTTAGACAACTGGTCAAAACGTAATATTGCGGATTAAATGTATTTATTGTATTGGTTTATGCGAGTAATACACGTGTAAATAAAACTTATTGACGTTAATTAATTTCATTAAAAGCACTCAAATTATCGATTTTATGCCTTAAGAACGTCTTAAATATTGCATAATTGCAAATGTACATTTATGTCGCTATTGTTTTTAGATCAACTGTGATGAATTATTGTGTCTACAATTCTTACTCACAGGTTTTCTTATGTTTTCACGTCATTTTTATGATGAATGCAAATAACATGATAACATCAGCGGAGAATTTCGTTGAATGATTTGAACAAGTAGAGAATGCATAGTGTGACATATTTTCTTAATTACTAAACCATTTCTTGTAAGTTTGTTTTATCATCCGCCTCCACGTTTTTGAGTTCGATTTCCGAAGTTAAATGAAATAATTAATTTGCCCAAATGTTGAAGTGATGATTGTGTGAAGTGAAAGCTGCAAGCTGCTGCAATATTTAGTTGGCACGCAAATATATATATATTAATAATTTTGATAACCTATTTGCCTTTAAAATTGATCAGTTCAGCAGAATTGTGTCTGCCCTAATTGGACACTTACGGCATGGCTTAATATAACTGAAATTTTACGAAATTGTGTACTAAATTTTTGAAAATATTTTACGATTTCATTATTATTGAATTTCCACTTCAATGTAATAGATTTTTACGATAGAAGTATAATGATAAAAAAAATCATATTGTTAACGACATTAAATCACTGATATAAAATTCAGCGTGTATTTATTAATAATAATAATTAATTGATTAATGTATTTTAGGATGCCAAACGAGATTCCGACTCTGGACTTCAACGATACCTTCTTGGATATGGAGCACCTTAGGAACAGTTTCCCCGGCCACGAGATCAAGCTGAAAACTGACAATCCACAGAAACTGGTCAGGCCATTTAAGTGAGTATAACTATTACATAGACACAATTTTACTTCTATAGTTTGTGTCCAATTCGTTTTAACAGCTCTATACAATGTGATAAATTCCAACGATGCAAATGAGTCAAATGTACATTAAAGTAAAAACAGTTCTAAATTTGAATTCTATGCCAGTTCTTAAATCAAAATGTTGAACGGACGAGAACTGGCATGAAACAGCATTATTTTTAATCGCTTAGTTTTTTGTTTATTCGTTCTCCCAAAGCTGCGCCCACATAAAGGCGGTAAATGTTTCAAACCTTATAGTTGTTTTATACAAATTTCGTTTACCTGATATGACCTTGGCACCCTTTCAAACCAAACTGTTTGAAAACACCTTTTAAAACCACCCTCTCTGCGCCACAACCAAGTTATTACCAATTTCAATTATACAGAGAATATGTTTGGATATGAATGTGAAAAAAACTATTAAAATTGATTTTTTACGCATTTTTATATTTAAAATAATCGATTATTTTTATAATTAAAATCAATCATATCATTTTTATCTCCTACCACATTATGTCTGGTATTTTATACCCACCTAATATATTCATATACAACATGTTTACAATATACATTGAATCGATTCTTTGAAGATGTATTGTTTTTGTAAAACATCGAAAGGATGATAAAACTATAACTTAAAAGTAAAATTAATTTATTCAGCACGACTCTCATTAAAAATACAACAAAATACTGCAATGTGCTACTGAAGAAATCGATTATTTATTAATCGATTTTTCATCTAAAAAATAATCGATTAATAAAAATCGATTTTTATGAAATGTCACATCCCTACGAGACTCTTATCAGCCCTTTTTTGGACACTGTTGGTTTTCACTTTTCAACCTTAGCCAAGCCAACTCGCTTTTATTTCGTTTCAAACCGCCGTTTCATACCGTGTAGCACATGTTTACTTCTAAATACTCAGATAGGAGTGTAGTAGATTTCAGTTTACAAAAATGATAATTAATTTAATTCTTGACGTATATGTAATTGCTTCATTTATTGAGGAATATCCAGTAGAAACAAAATATGTAGTAATATTAGTTGAAACAAACGTAGATCTTTTAAAGTGACGTGCAACAAATATTTTTGGCAACAGTAAAAAGATTTCGCCCAGTAGAAACAAAACAACGAATCAAAACATTAACAGTTACTATAAAAAGCTTGTGAAATGAACTCTTACAACGTAAAAGGCAAAATATTTTTTTTTATATAAATAATGGTAATTTGTGTTTAAATTTTATGTTGGGTATAAAATTAACTCGCACTTAGACGAAGCGCTTTATAATGACTAGAACTGTATCTGAGACGCTTAGAAATAGTAATGGATAATTAAAAAAACTCAAAAAAATTGTTATTTTAATTAAATCTCTACATTAAATTTCGGAGTCGATACTTAGCGCTATACTCTCGTATGTCAAAAAACATATAGGATTTTGACTTTTATCTTATATCTTTGATTGAATCTTACCCTAAATCTTCACGTAAACGAAACGTACAATAACAGAGTATGTTATGAATCAAAACGTGTGTAACACACGCAATAATAGGCCATCCGTTTTCGTATTATTTATTTGTACTAAGTCTTTATACGCTCACATATTATATTAACTTTTTAAAATTGTGTAATAATTTATTGGTTTATACTATTGAAATATATCAAGAATCATTAAGAGGGCGTATTAGGGCTTCGGTCAGTCTTATCAAGCAATCCAGCCGAGTCTAGTAAGGAAAAGTGTAAGAAGTGCAAAATAATGAAGAATTTTTATTTAAAAGAGAACAAATAGTTCCATGGAATGACGAAAGATATGTAAATTTTAAGTCGAAACAGATTCCATACTAGACTGGTATAACTGGATTTTAAACTTTGATTATTATAGGCAGGATGTTATATTAGACTTATGCGGCCTGGCCTTATCACAAAATTTCTTTGTAGATTATTTATTTATTGAATCACATCACGTTACAGTCTAACGTTCTAAACTATATGACAATAAATTATGAAGGACATAATTTATTATGTATATAAAAAATACTTTTCCAAAAAAAGAAAAAGAAAAATCTTTAACTTAATAAGGTAGGTCCCTAACAACGCTGTTTAAAGGGTTTTTTTCACCTACAAAATAGGAACCATGGCAAAAAAAATCTTTGGTCCGAATTTCATTATCGATAATTACGTGGATTTATTGAATTTTAACTTGTTATAGAGTTACTTTCGACAACGTGTTACGTAAGCAGGAGCTTGGAGATAATGCTATGGATGAAGATGAAGAACGGAAGGTCATAGTTGTGGAACCGCACGTACAGCCCAAGCGAGGGCCTTACCTCTATAATGAGCCGAAGAAGTGAGTATGAACTTGAAAAAATGAAAAGGTTATCCTAGAATTAGGTATTTAAATTATTTATTTGAAATCATTCCAATACACACACATGCACTAGTAATGTATTCAGGACATCTTGTTAAAATATATTTGCTCCATATGACCCGGCGAACTTCGTACCGTCTAACATGACAATTACGAAACCTATTTTGTATTAAATTTTTTTCGATCAATTTCCAATGTTTTTATAGTAAGTTCTATTCGGGACTGAGACAAATACAACAAATCAAAAACCATAAATTATAAGTGTTCACACAAACCCGACTTTGTTTTGGGATATCCCATAGCATACATTTTACTCAACAACTGGTTACATTTAATGATCAGTATATGTAATTTAAATAAATTATTTGCAATACAAACACACATTAAACAAAATGCTTATTGCAAATACTTTGGGTGAGAGACGAGACTTGTGTCAAATATATATTGATTTTGTCATACGGAGACATAGTTAACCATTGGTATTTGGTGCCCCAGTATATGTATGTAATATACATTCAGATAATAAACAACATATACCCTAAGTATTGTGTGTGAAAATTATAGTTTTTTTTCTTTTAATTTGAATTTAAAACCTTTAGCACATATTGTATGTGATGTGTGAAATTTCTTTTTAAATTGGTTGGTTGAAGTTTAACAAGGACCTTAATAGGTCCTTTATGTCCATTGTTTTTGTCTAAAGTTCGATATGTTATATTAAATATTTTTGCTATCTTATAATAGCGATGTTATCATTTTGTAATTGTTTAGATCAATTTCAGTTAAATTCAAATACGTTTCGGTCCAATAAACCGTCTACATTTTAAACTGGGCGTGCTTAGTAATAGTTCGCCTACTCGCGAACAATCAAGGTCGTTTAAAACCGTAATAGAAATCAGTATTATTCGTTTGGTTTGAAAAATGTTTGCTTTGCAGGCGTGAAATATTTCACGGAGACATATTTCACATCGGTATTTTTTTCTGTCGACCTTTCTCAGTTCGACTTCTGGTGAAACGATAATACTTGAAAAGCAATAACTATGAACGAATGTTTTTGCCCGAACTTACGTGACGTCACGAATGCTTTAATTTGCTTTTATCTTCTGATCTAAATCGACTTTTATATGTTAAATTTTTTTGGCTCCAATCTATCTCTTCCTTTCTCTAATAGCTGGTCTTCGCATAGTTCCAGGGGTTATAATTTCTCTTTTACTGTCACTGCCGGTCGGTCGTGGAATGCTTTGCCTTTTAGCCATGCCGACCTCGATTTGCATATTTTATTCATTGTTTAGAATATATAGTACGTCAGGGCGGTCTGGAAACAACTTTTAGTAGTAAAGCCGGGCGGTACGTTAATATGATTTGTTTTTCATGTTTTATGATGTTAATAAAGTGTTTATTATATCTACAGAAACAATATACTGTTCACGCCGACACAAGTGGAGGCTATACGATCGGGAATGCAGCCTGGATTAACGTTGGTCGTCGGACCACCGGGAACAGGTAGGATACATAAATCATTTAAGACTTAAGTCATTAAATAAATTGTATGTAAGTTATAGCTAATACGACGAACGAGTTTTATGATAGCTTTATCAATACGTCAATTTGTTGTAAGTTTCTGACAGCTCGAATAGTGCCTTTTGAATGATGTTTTTGTGCTTCTGTTTATTTGATACGTTAGCGGAGCGTTGCAAATTTTCACACAATAAAAATATTATTTTTATATAAAATACTCGATTACGTTACTTAATAAAACAAATATTTTGGCTGAAAATGATTCGGATGAATTTATCGAGTTTGATATCTGCTATTTAGAATCTGAGTGAGTAATACCCAAAATAAAAAAATAAAATGGGTTTATTATGGAATATAAGATACAGCTATCACTTATTCCACGTCATTAAATTTGAATTTGTAGGCATCCCTACTCATCGGCAAAGAAGACAGAGGGTGTAGGCCGAGAGAAAAAGCCGGCGTAAAAAACTCTCGGTACTCTTTTAAAGTAGCAAATCATCAAACAACACTTATTTTAAAACAAATATCGCAAATTAATTAGAACTAGCATGTCTAGCACTAGTCCCATGTCCTTATATCAACTAGATAATCGTTAACTTTCTAGTAAGTCTTTTTACACAGATTTTCTTCAATACATTTCTTAAATTTATTAAAAGGCAGATATAAAAGAGCCTCTGGGATTTGATTAAAGAAAACCTATTACGCTCAAAACACAACATGTAAATTAACAAAAATCAAAGCATATTATCTATTCTGAATAGCAAGCTAATTTTAATCCTATTCAAACTCATTACTATTCGGATGTATGCCGCATATTAAATAATATCAAGTAAATTGTCTTTTGTCTTCTATTTTTGTATCCTATTGTTTTATTATGGTCTAATGTTTTCACGAGTTCCTGATATTAGTTACCAAATTTGGATGTCGTCTTTTTAACGAATATTGAGTCAGAATTGACTTTAGTCTACGCACGTTTAAATAAAAGGTACTCGCGTTTAACGATCGAGTGGTGCTGTAACCGTGGTGGTCTTGGTCTGAGATTTATGATCATTTTTATTTAAATAGGTGATAAGCCTTTTGTGATACGCCTCTTTGGATCGAAGGCAATTCCTTACGATGTTTTCCTTCACCGTAGCGAGTGTTAAATCTACACATAGAAAGAAAAGTCTATTGGTACACAGCTTGTGTTCTTACTTCTGGGTTGAGAGTCGCACTCACATTACAGCAACTTAACATTAATTCCATAGAAAAAAACCTTATAAGAAATAATGGACAATGCTCTTGTGAATCCGGTGTCAGTGTTATACTGAATAGGGCGGTCTTTATCGCAGCATTATTAAGTGTTTGCAATGCACGCGTAAATGTAATTTCTAAGCAAGTTAGTTCGCGCCCGCGGCAACGAATTCAGCCGTAGGATAGAAGCACAGTTGTAATGAGGGCTCTGAAGACAAACTTTCCGCGACCCAAATTGCCACATGGCTTGGCTGGCGATCCCCCAGTGTATGATAACTACGAGAGCGCGAGAGACGGAGAACTGTGTCAGTGCCGACAACTGCGGACTAACCTGGGGTCAGACCCCACTTGGAATCGGCACACGAAATTCTTATGGTCTGCGCTTCTATCATACGTCTGAATTCGTTCCCCGCGGGACAGCTAGCAATAGTTGCTGTTTCTCATGCCTAGTGTGGTTAATCGGTACTCGCAGCCCCAACCTCTCTTATTCATATGCATTATGTACCCTTCGAAAGGATTTCAAATAGATACCGCGTAGTAACTCCCTCCTTACCCTTATAGCTGCTGTATCCAACATAGAATATTTGGTATGTAATAAATTTATCAACAGGTAAAACAGACGTGGCCGTACAAATAATATCTAACCTCTACCACAACTTCCCATGGCAACGGACGTTGGTAGTAACGCATAGTAACCAGGCTCTCAACCAGCTCTTCGAGAAGGTGGCAGAACTCGATGTTGATGAGAGACATCTACTGCGTCTTGGTCACGGTGAAGAGGAATTGCAGACGGATAAGGATTTCTCAAGGTAAGAAAGAAATTATGTCGTGAGAGCACAACTTATGGTTTCACGTGCGATTTTTGATTCCTAATTCAAAAGAAAAATATATCTACCATTATTTCCTTTTGAAAGCTTCTCTCACTTTGGCATGCTGAACGCGCTATCTCGAATAGCGCGTGGAGCTGGATCTCGAAAACTACAGGTTCTATTTGATTTTTTTTGTGCTGCTAGTTCATTTATGATTACATATACTGTAGGTAAAGCATTATATATGATGCGGTGGTTTTTGAATAAATAAATACAATATAGTATTTAGTAACAAGTTGCAATGACGGTTCCGCACGTGTACTGAACAACTATTTTTAATACAGTTGCGAAAAAATTATGCAATTTAATAAAATAATAAAAAAACAATAAACTCAACTCACTAATCATTTATTTCTTATACAAATTATTGTTCACATATACATTGGTACAGTTTTTTATACTAACTGGAGAAGTTTTAGGTTGCATATTTATTTACTGTTTGAGACAAACTATTATTTATTTCGTATGATTTTTCATGTATATTTAATATATAATATAACAAACAACTAAACGCGCAAAGAACATTTTTGAAAAATGGCGCCAACCGTAAAAGAATATAAGCAGATTTTTTTTTCTTCACCCATTCTGGGTAGGCAAAGGGAACTATGCCCATACAGCCAAGTCTTCAGTACAATTTTTTATTGATATGAAATGAAATTTAAGGAGAAATTGAAGGAGAGAAGAGAGAAGGAGAATGAAATGTAACCTAACTCATTGAATCAAATCATTAAATCTTATATTGAAACAAAGCAGTAGCTTCTTTTTAGAAATATTTGCATGAATCATAAAAATTTCTATGATTTTTTTTAGTAAAAACTTCGTGGTTGGTTTTTTCTTTTCAATAGACATTATTTTGACAGTTGGGAAAGAAAACGCACTAGTTCGGAAAAGGTAAAAAAAAAGCACGAGTGTGTAATAGCCCACATCCCGAACGCTATACGTCCCTGCAATACGCCACTTTTTGAGCAACTGTATTAAAAAAATATTTTTATACATAACTTATATTCCTTTTGCTCTAAACATGCGCCATATACGGAAGAGCTGTAATCTAGTCACCCACGACAGGGGCTTCCCTAATG